CAGAAATCTCTATATCATGTCACTCAACAGGGTCGTACAGATATCTCTATATCATGTAACTAAACGAGGTCATACAGAAATATTTATAGCATGTCACTTAACCAGGTCACAGAAATCTCTACAGCATGTCACAGAAATCTCTATAGCATGTCACTCGACCAGGTCACACAGAAATCACTATAGCATGTCACTCAACGAAGTCACAGAGAAATCTCTATAGTATGCCACTAAACCAGGACATACAGAAATCTCTATATCATGTTACTCAACGAGGTCATACAGAAATATTCATAGCATGTCACTCGACCGAACAGAGGGAAATTTCGATAGCATATCACTCAACCAGGTCACATAGAAATCACTATAGTATGTCACTCAACGAGGTCATACAGAAATCTCTAAAGCATGTCACTCGACCAGGTCACAGAGAAATATCTATAGCATGTCACTCAACCAGGCACAGAGAACTCTCAATAGCATGTCACTCTACCAGGCACAGAGAACTCTCTATAGCATGTCACTCAACCAGGTCAGAGAAATCTCTATAGCATGTCACAGAGAAATATCTATAGCATGTCACTTGACCGCAAACTGGGAAGTCTCTATAGCATGTCACTCGACCAGGTCACAGAGAACTCTCTATAGCAAGTCACTCGACCAGGTCTCAGAAAAATATCTATAGCATTTCACTCAACAAGGTCACAGAGAAATCTCTATAGCATGTCACTAAACCAGGTCAGAGAAATCTCTATAGCATGTCACTCGACCAGGTCACAGAAATATCTATAGCATGTCACTCGAACCGCACACTGGGAGGTCTCTATAGCATGTCACTCAACAAGATCACAGAGAACACTCTATAGCATGTCACTTGACGGGGTCTTAAATAAATATATATAGCATGTCAAAGAATAATATCTATAGCATGTCACTCGACCGCAAACTGGGAAGTCACTATAGCATGTCACTGGACCAGGTCACAGAGAAATCTATAGCATGTCACTCGACCGCAAACTGGGAAGTCTCTATAGCATGTCACTCGACCAGGTCACAGAGAAATATCTAAGGCATGTCACAGAGAAATATCTATAGCATGTCACAAAACTAAGGGCCACACAGCATTTTCATCATTCCTATTGTATGCCACAAAGTTAAGTGCCAAAGAGAAATCCTTAGTAAGTCATACAATTAAGACACCACGTTACATAATCGTGGCATACAGACCTTGAGTAATAGTATATATAAGCATGTCTCAAAACTGGGACGTCATACAAAGTTGTCACACCATGTAGGCATAGGGACCTAAGAGTTTGTTTGAGTAGGTATGTTTGGGCATAACCCATTGTGTAGAGAATAAAAGTAAAAAGTAAACATTTCAATGGTTGATATCAATAGTGTAAAAAGGTTTTGTATATTAGTATTTATCATAAATTAGGCTCAGGTCCCTACATGTATGTGAGCAGGTCTATAAAGCAGTACAGGGGAGATAACTCTTATTGAGAAATAGGTTTTAGTCTAATAACACTTGGGTTCTGGTGATTGAAGTTGACACACACTTTGCAGTCATTTGCATTAATCGGACACATTTTTAATGATGAAGTAAAAGAATACAGAAAAAGTATTATAAAGCTGTAGTAAAGACAAAATTACACTAAAACACATTAACAATCATTTATTTCTACAGAGTTTATAAACTCCAACTGAATGCAAGTATTCATTCTAAAATACACTGACATGTATCCAATTTATCATTTGGAGCAAGATTAAAAAAACCTAAATAAAACAAACTTTTCAACTGAATACTATGACTCTATGAATATTTTAACCGTCTATCAAATGTACATTTTTGTAAATCTTTCTTGTTATTTTTACAGGGACATACATATATATAGTATCAACTAGATCACCTTAACACTGCATAAACAGCTTTGTTTTGCAAATAACGGTAGAACGTCCCAGAGCAAAATAAAAGTGGTACATTTCAAGGATGGATCTATGAATTACATGTGTTCTGGCCTGTCAAGTTTTGCTGAAAAACATGTGCGGGTATTTTTCATAAACTTATATTTGGAAACTTTTATGAGTTAAACAGGAAGAGCTTTCTTTAACTCATAAAGATAAACAAGAGGTCCATGGGCCTTAACGGTCACCTGATATATTTATACAGAGAGTTGATTTTGTTTTTAACATGAACAGAAATATTATTCAGTGACAAAAAACAATATAACCACCTTATTCAATATCTAGCATACAGATTTAAGACTAAAAAGTATTTGAAACTAGCACCTCTGATTCTAAACAAGAAAAAATGAAGAAATTTTAGCACACTGACTCCTTTGGGCCCCACCCTAAAGCCCTTGCGGGTAGGGCTGGCTTAAAATTTTCAAAGTATCAAACTGTCAACTCAGGGTTATAATTCAAATCAAGTTATTAACATNGAAGAGTATTTGATTCTACCATATTTGGGTCTTGAGAAGAAGATTTTTGAAATTCCAGTCAATTCAACCCTTTTTGGCCCCTCCCATCAGCCCCGGGGGGTCAGTCAGGGCTCATATGTGCATACCATCAAACTGCTACCCAATACTGATAATGCTAACCTAAATTTAATTACTTCCAATGGAAATTAAACAAATGTTGGTCCAAAATGTGATTTCCCTATATAAACTATAGTAAAATTTACACCCTCCCCAGGGGAAACGTGATACCCAAGGGTCATGAAATTCACAATTTTGGTAGAGCACCTTAAGACCCTTCCATCTAAGAAGAGTATTTGATTCTACCATATTTGGGTCTTGAGAAGAAGATTTTTGAAATTCCAGTCAATTCAACCCTTTTTGGCCCCTCCCATCAGCCCCGGGGGGTCAGTCAGGGCTCATATGTGCATACCATCAAACTGCTACCCAATGCTGATAATGCTAACCTAAATTGAATTACCTCCAATGGCAATTAAACAAATGTTGGTCCAAAATGTGATTTCCCTATATGAACTATAGTAAAGTTTACCCCCTCCCCAAGGGGAAATGTGAGACCCCAGGGTCAAGAAATTCACAATTTTGGTATAGCACCTTAAGACCCTTCCATCTATGAAGCGTATTTGATTCTACCATATCTGGGTCTTGAGAAGAGGATTTTTGAAATTTTAGTCAATTTGACCCTTTTTGGCCCCGCCCCTCAGGCCCCTGGGGGCCTGGGACCAAACCGGCCACTGTTTTCGTTGACCTTTGGCCATGGAAGGTTTCTGCAAAATTTCATTGAAATTGGTTCTGGGGTTTTGGAGAAGAAGTCGAAAATGTAAATTGTTTACGGACGCACGACGGACGATGACAGACGACGACGGACTAAAGGCGATCGCAATAGGTCACTTGAGACTTTGTCTCAGGTGACCTAAAAAAATTGTCCTACCCTTACCAGTGTGTATATCTGTTAATGCAAGATGTGTTACCTAATACTGTATCAAATAAATCTCCTTGAACATTTCATACTATTAACTTATACAACAGGCATAAAATTATGTCCACTAATTTTATAGGTTGGAATATTTTCTAAACATTTCTGAATTTCAACATTTCATATAAATGTGTCCAGGATCACTGCCAACATATACATATACCTAGGTACAAAAAGCACAACCTTAATGATAATATGCTAGAAAACGGTGCAAAGATATATCTTATAAAATTTGCATTTTATCTACAAAGATGAGGCAAATTTTAAGATATGAAAGAATAGATGATCTCTAATTCTGTTTCCAATAAAAAGATGAAAAATGTATAGTAAACCTACATTTCTGAGGTAACCGTAAAAACTTACAACTATAAACAATGGTCATTCATCTACCTAAACGTGAGTACTTCCAAAACTACTCGCGCATATTTTATTTCTAGTAACAGAAAACAAACTAACTGTGATGTTTCCATATGAAAAAATATTGAAATATTTGAACAGAAAACCCTGTTCCATCACAAAATGCATCTGTATCAATTGATAGAATGCACTAAATGCATGTGGACAATGTGTATTACAGTAACTATTGGTTATAATTATAATCTCTATACAGCACACGTCTGGAGCTGTCCCAGAGGGCTCTATATTTTATTGGAGACCTTGTCTACAGGCATTGAAACCAGTCTTACTCACACCCTGTGGGATTCCACTGCCTAACTTAGACAAGGATTAAGAAGCACAGGTTTTTATTCCGTAATTAGTTTAGAAATGTGATTGTTACAGCGTTATGCAAGACAGGATGGGATGTCGGAACACTTGAGGGTCAGAGTAGACAGATTTCATTTTACCTTTATCATGTTAGAATTATACTGGACTGCATCAAGTCCAAGGGGGTGATATCATGCATACATTGAGTTCATGAAATGTATACAGTGTAATTCATATTTTATGAGCTTATGTTTCATTAGGCGCGATGCTAATGTTAAATAATAAAATGTTTTAATAAAAGCTAGCAACAAAGTGGAACAATTCTTATTTCGAGCATTTTTCAGGTTGTATGTTTAAAGCCAGACTGGAATACATTGAAGAAAAGAGGCAAAAAGGGCCTAAATTAAATGGCAAAAAGATGAACAAATACTTCAACAGCACTACTACTATGGAACTAGTTTTCAAAATGTTTACATCATTCTGACCAAACAGAAAATATCAGTACTGGTAAACTATATGTATTGCCCTTTTTAGCCAGGATTCAGTATAATATGCTCAATAGAATTTGAGGTTAAGTTCAAAATATAATTTTAGATGGCTGCTGTGGTGGCCATATTGAATTTCACATCCACCCCAAAATAACAAGAGGTCCTTTTAACAGTCACCCGAGTTAACGATGTAATACATGTATATTGTTATATTTTTTTTCTCCTTTTTGAGTACTATAATATCTCGTCTTCAGAATAAACCAATATCAAATCAATTTTACAAGAGATTGGTCAAAGGCGTAATTTATTCAAATTTAAGTGGAATCTTAAACTGACTTTTAAAAAAAAAAAATGGAAATAATTGTCATACTTTTTCTTGGATTTAATCATGTTAAATTATATTTAATTATTTTCAATACATATGTAAAGGTATCCTAATATAACATACTTCTCTATATCTGCATAGCAGTACTATGCCCAAGCTGGTCTAGCACTGTTGTATATATAATAAAAGTACCCCCTAGGGCACACACTTTGGTTATTTTTCTTATATTTACATATGTACATTTTTTTACAATAACAACTAATTAACAGCATTAAACATACCAGTGTGTTGATATATTCCACAATGTTATAAGACTTGAAACAACATTTAACAATACAAATTCAATTTAAGGCAGAGTGAGAACATGTAATATTTCTGTAAAACACTTTTTCTTTGAAATGGTCTAATGATTGCATGTATACATACATGTGTTACAAATTACATATATATGATATGGTCTAAATTTCATGTCCATCTTTTCTTTTTGGTTTAACCCTTTCACCACTGTAGACCATAATGAACTCATCCATATCAATGCAATGTAGAGTCTACTAAAGTAACTAAAGGGTTAAATAGAAAAGTTTACCATTCTAAATAAATACTACAGTAATTAAAATCAAAACATATCTGTGCCTTTCTAAGGAGAGTTAATAAGACATGTATACATCAATGCCCTAACAGTCCTGTCCCTTTGAAGCCAGCCTCGGGGCCAGATGAAACCTGGATGAGATCTTGTAAGACCATAGGGTCCTCCACCGGCTCATCAGCCTGGAGCATGATTACCGCTCCAGGAGACACCATTAGGCTCCCAAGTGTGGCAGTGTCGTCCATCAGACTCACACCCGACACCGTCAGATTCTGGTCAAAGGGAGGCACAGAAAACAGCTTCATAATCTGCAGCTTAAGTTCTTTTAATGTGTCTGTTGAAGATACTTTCAACTCTTTTTCACCCCTTGATTTTCTGTGACGTTGACTTTTACGTCTCGTTCCATCTTCAAGTTTCATCATTTTCTCTGGTGGTTCTTCAAAACTTGCCCTGGATTTGTTAGTATTTTGCTGGACAAAATCTGGGTCATCCTCTTTTTCCATGTCTGTTGTATTCACAAGCTTTTGATCTTTTGGGACTTTCCTTACATACACTGTTGCATCCTTGAACTCAAATTTTGCCTGTTCCTCTTTCACAATTCTGTCATCCACACAATCCACACAGACCTCGGGCAAGGTGAACACCATCACTGTGCCATCTTCATCCTGGGTTTTAACAATGCTGATTTCGTAATCTACAGCAAAGGTTTGTGAGATCACCTCCCACTCTCGTGGCCACAAATAGACAACCTTACCTCCGTGGTCAACCAGGTCAGGATGAGAGTTTGCTGGTGGGTACAGATACTTTAAGTGGTTACACAGGAGAGTACAATTGAGTACCTCCTTCACTGGTTCTCTTTTCAGAGGCTCCCGAATAAAATTTCTCCATTCTTCCACAAAAGCAGCACTAACTACATTTACTTCCTGTGGAGTATTTAAATTTATTGGACGTTTTTTATCGGCGAAGAGTTCACTTAGTGCAGCTTTCTGCTTTGTGGCTAGCAGCTTGTGCATTTCCTTGCTTTCCTGTTCCTCTTTGTTCATCTTATTGCATAGGTCACAGGATGGCGTGTCTTGCGGAAATTCTGGACAGTCTGGAAAGTACTTCCTCAGTCTGTCCCAGACATGATCTGGGATAAGCTTTCGACATGAAATGTCAGGGTCTAGTTTGTCATGATCACATAAAACATCAAAGTTAAATTTCAAATCTGAACCATCTTCCTCCTCCTCGTCTTCTTTCACAGATTCATTGCGATTGTTCGATGTTGTGGCTTCTTCTGTAAAGCTTTTTAAGTTGTGTTCAACTTCACCATTTACTACTTCTTTGTTTTCCATATTATGCCTAGGTGAACCTGTCTGTTCCTCTTTGACCTCTTCATCATGACCTTCAACCCCATCACCCCTGTTCTCTTTGTCATGTCTGGTTCCCTCCAACCTCTCCATAGCTAATCTCTTCCAGCTTCGCAGTGACGCCTTCCCAACCCAAAATGATGGGACATTTGTTTGAATATTGTTCACTTTCATAGAGGTACCAAGAAATTTCTCATCATCAACCATTTTGATTTTTAATCTTATCATGTTGCAATGCTGTTTCACACAGGTAAGGCACAGAGAATCTGTAACCTTGAGACGGGGACCCCCATGATACTGACTAAACAACATGTTGGCTCCAGCGGCACTCACGCACTTAAGTTTAACGGCACAGTGGGGGTCCAACTTGCCGTGTTGACACAGGAACACCTTGTTGTTTATGGCAGGGGCCTTAGACGGCTCCTCTAACCACGTGTTGAGCCACTTGAGCCCCAACCATTCCATTTTGCTGGGAGGAACATCCTCTGCTATAAGCTTCAGGTAAATTTCTTTAGTCAATTCCTGTTGTTCTTTTCCTGTCTCAATGTTACGATCTCTCATCAGCATCATTTCAGCAACCCACATTTCAAACTTTTCATTGTCCATGTCTACATAGTCCTTGATATGTTGAGGGATTAGACTTCTAGATACAATGCTGTCCTCTTTGCTGTAGGAGTTGTTCTCCACCTCCTTTTGACGTGTATAGACCAACATGTAGGCATTCTTGGACCCATGACTTCCTTTAGGGATCCGGCCTTTCTGCTTACCTTGACCTTCTTGAGGGTCATCTTCAGTACCAAGGTGCAGGTTTGACCCTTTCATTTTCTCTATTTCCTCATCATTGTATTTGTACCAGGTCTTCGAGTTCATGTCCTTGATGTGGGCGATGTAGTGGCCACTATAGGCAGTGGGGCCCCTATGAATAAGCACCGCTGTTAGATTGTACAGGGCATTGCCTTCCATATCATCATCAACAGGGTCAATATCTATGATTTCTATCTCATTCTCTTTCACAATTTTAGGTTTCTTGACAATAAATTTGGACATGTCCAACACCTCAGGAAATTGAATGAAGCTATTGAGTTTTTTCTTGTGTCCTGTTTTTTTGTCAAACACAAATCTCAGCAGCTGTAGATTAAGGACGGGAGGAAGGTTCTGAAGCTGTATAGTGCGAATGGCATTTTGCTTTTTGGAACACACTGAACACATGTATTGGTTGTCGCCTTCAAGTTTTTCCTCTTTTAGGAAGTCCTTGAGAGAGTCCTCTAGAGTTTTGTGTCCTCTAATGCTTAGGTCCAGCTCATAGAACTTAGAGGGGCACTGAGAAGAATTTCCACACTGGCTACAGGTTGTAACATATGCATACTCTCCACAAAACTGGTTCTGTATGACAAACCTGACAGTGGGATCCAGCTGCTGGGACAGAGAGTCCTCTAAGAGGTTCAGGAAAAGCTTGGAGAATTCCTGTGCATCCTGCTGAAGGCCAGCATCTAAACCTAGATGCTCAATGAACACTTTTGGATCTATGAACTGACGCTCAGAATGCTCTAGTAAGGCAAATAACAACTGTAGATGACCACCTATACTACTGGGAGCCCAACTGTCCTCGGTGATATTGACCTGGTCAAGTCCGATCTCTCTGTATCTATACAAAGCCTGTCGAACTGTCTTGTTGTGAAACCACAACTGTAGGAAAGTGTTCACATAACAAGTAGCTCCTAAGTTTTTTAACCCCACAAACATGCCATCTTCCCGTCGTTCTGAATTTGGATCCTCTATGTCATGCCAACTGTTTTCGTCGATTTCTCCAAACCATACTCTCTCACCAATACAGTTTAGGCAGTGTGGGTTCCCTTTACAGTTTCTCTTGCAGATCTGGGCCTTGCACCGTTTGAGGTTAAATCTGTAAGCAATCTCCACATGTTCCTGGCTAACATCCTCCGGGTTGACGGTCTCTGCCCATTGCCAGGCAGCCTTGTCTAACTGCTGCTTAGGGGGCATCCTACAACACAAAGATACAAGTTTTACTATTGCAAGGAAAAAGCTAGACTATCAAATAGCTTGAAGTGAAAACAATAGTTCCAAGTTCTTTATAGATAGAACGTGTTAACCTTAACCTTTAATCTAAGCCACAGGAAAAAAATATATGAAATGAAGGACTATGTATGGTTTGGGCGTGTTTTGGCCCCCAAATGCATCAAAATTCAAAACCTCTACTTGAACTTTGAAATTACTGTTTCTTTTATTTTGACTACTTCCCAAACACTATCATGAAAATATTTAATTGTATTTCTAATTATTGGTGCCTTGGTAACATGTTCAAATTTGCATAAATTAAAAAAAAATGAATATTCAGTGAATTTTGTCATATTTTGCATAGTTTTTCTCTTGCAAACTAGAGTGCATGCTTGAACAAACTCAAAATCAAAGGATAATGTGTAGGCACCTGTAATACATATATAGGAGAAATATTAAGTTTGTTTAAGCTTTCGCTCTATGGTAACTAAGAGAAAAACTAGGCAAAAACCTGTCAAAATTTACTGAATATTCAAATTTCATTAATTTATGCAAATATTAACTGGTTACCATGGCAGCCATAACTGAAAACCTAAATAAATGTTTACATAATAGTACCAGGGAAGTATTCAAAATTAAAGAAACAGTCATTTGAAAGTTTTATTGAAGATTTCTAATTTTGATGGATTTGGGGACCAAAAAAAATCATCGTTCTTTGCTGAAACACAGTGTTTTGGGGCTAATTTATAAGACCTGCAATGTTGATGGCAAAAGATGTCTTGATGTAACCTTTTAAACTCTATTTTGATTTCTATATGACTAACCCTAGTTTTTATTAGGACAAAAAAAAAAGTTTTGGAGAGTGAAAATAAAATGAACACTGTACTGTTTGAACCAAATAATTGTTTTGTTGAATTTCTGTAATTAATCCATCATTAAGTTATTTACCATAATCCAACCGGAAGCACTGAAATTAAGCTGGCATTACAATATATATATGCGAAACTTTCCCACCACAATTATTTTTTATTGAAATAGGGATAATACCGGTATATTCCTCATTTTTTTGTCATTTTGGGAAATAAGGCACTTTTTAGCTAGGGGGAACAGTCTGTATTCAGCTGTAAAACTAAGCAAAAAAAATCACTGTATTTTAAATATTAGAGATCTGTAACAGGAAAGAGAGTAGTATACTTCCACCAGGGATACAACCCCCGACCCCCAGCTTCCTAGTCTGTCACTCTACCAATTGAGCTAAAGGGAAATTCCCTCTAGTGCGAAGCTAGAAGGCAACCTAGCCCCAGTTTCCTCTGGTCCTGACACCAGGCTTAGACAATTTGACAGATAGATGTCTGGTGTGGGGCCGGAGCACACTACTATATGAAAACGTGAAATTCTCCTACACCAAAGGTTTAGCCCTTTCTTTCAACCCTAGGTAACTTTAGTAGACTCTACCATACATTTATTTGGATGAGTCCATTATTGTCTACAGTGGTGAAAAGGTTATAATCAAGGTGCTGACAAGTACAACACAAACCTCACATTATAAATCAGGCGTGGAATTAACCACTGGTACGCTGGCCACTGGTTTTCCAGGCAGACCAGTAAGTTTTTTAACAAGCTATCCCACCAGGCCATGGCCAGTAGATATTATGGAAATTTATCTAAAATTTCAGCAGATTTGAAAAGCTTTATTTTAAGCCCAGAAAGCTTCACAGAGCTTCTAGATTTTTAAATTTTCCAGGGGGCATAGCCCCGGACCCACCTACTATTACACACATTGGGTGCTCGCTTGGGCCTACAGTTCTCTTTTTCTGGACCATTGCACTTCAAACAGGACCAGCGAATTTTTACTTCAACTGGACCTTTGGGCCAGGAACGAGTCGAGCCCTAAGGTTTTCAAACTTTTTTTCGCCTGAGCGATGCCATTTTGTAGGTTATAAATGCAAATTACAATCATCAAAAAGGGGCGGTCCGGAATTCTTCTAACTAGAAAACTGTATTCCGTTTCAGTATGGATCAGTATGGTTTGCTGATCAATGGAATCTCTCAGCTGTTGGTGATAATAAGGACAGTTTTGGATAAGTAAATAATCCATTAATCAATTTAAGTGAGTTATCATATGTTTACTAATAATAACACTCTTTTTGTATGTGTAACAAGTAACAAGTATACTCACACCCCTAGAAGTGATATCACACCCCCTCCCAAATTCCCGGATTTTGCCGCTTCCTCTTATTGCTATCTGCTTTTAATGTAAACAATCAAATTGTTGGCATGGAATAACTGCGGTTTCATGGAAAATTATTTAAAGATTGATTTACAAAGCTCCACCCAAATTTCCGGATGGTGCCGCTTCCGGATTTGGCTTTGCTTAATAGTGTTACACCCGTCGTCTGCATAAACAACAATGGCGACTGGCAAGAAGATTTAGGAGAAATTGGCATCAAGGATTGTTGAATTAGACAAATCAATTGACAACAAACAAATGGAAAAGGAGATGAAGCGCCATTAAAAAAACATTGAGTGGCGACAATTGATTCAGACAGTGATTAAAATGAATTCCAACCAATATTAATAACCATATTATTTTGTAGGAATTTGGAAATTTCTAAATGTTGACTTTTTACGTATACTTGTTTTGTTTATATGTTTTATACATAATTGTTTTTTTAACATTTTTATGAATATCAGTAAATAAAATAAAGAAATATTTTTTTTGTGTATGTCTTGTTTATTTTAAAGGAAAAAAAACATGATAAAAAGTTTATAATATGACTATTTTGATATCACAACCCCAATCAGGACTATCGGGCTGATATGGGGTGTGATATCAAAATGGTCATATCAAAGCAGGTTTTTGCTATCGGAACCTCCTAACTTTTCTGCACCAAACGATGTCAGAAATACCATGTTTTCATATAGGGCCTAGTAGTGCAGCCCTGTCACACCAGACATCTATCTGTCAAAATGTCAAGTCTGGTGTCAAGGCCGGTGGAAACTGGCCTATGTACATAACATTCAAAAATAAAATCTGCGACAGAGCTAAAGAAGTTTACTTGTTTGTTCATAAAACGAGACCTACTATGATAGCAATGCCTATATGTGACAACACCTAAATTAATTTTGACGGTTACCAGCCTCAGTTTTGGTTTTTAAGTGTCAGTCTGCATGCATTCTTCCACATGCTCATCTTTGCTAGTTTATAGAAGCGGACAGAAAAAATGTATTTTTTTTTGTCTTTTCTATAAGTACAAAACTCTATGAACGAAACCAGTTTAACGTTGAAGAATCCAAGGTCGATATTATGCAAAAAATCATAATGTTTGATTGTTGTGATATAAGACGGGTTAGTGACATGTAGATTCTATAGAAAATTGCTGCTAACATGACAGCCAAAACAAACGGATGGATGAATTTATGATGAAATAACATGCATGCGTAAGTTCTCTTTTAAATGCATACTTCGAAGTTATGTCCAATATTCAAGTGAACATCTGTGCATCTGCTAAACTGGTGTTTGGGGACAAGGTAACAACTTCCCGCCTCTCCCGTTCATATTTACTTCCCTTGAACTGAATCAACTGCGGTGTAGAATTGTCTGTATCATTGAGGTGCTTCATTAATTGTAACTGTATAATAAAACGCACAAGTGAACTAAAATTTAGTCTATGTCACAAATACGCTAAATATCGATCGGAAAGAAAAACGTTTGCGTGACCATGTGTGCCGTAAACAACAATGGAGGAAAACGAAAGTAAACACATGTTCCTTGCCACAGAATTTCGGACAAAATTACTCACTGATGTCCAAAATTGCTTGAAGTCTCGAAATATTGCATGCGACAAAATTTGTGTAGTTAAAAGAGTTCGAGATCTTCACGACGGAGACTATTGTGTGCCCAAAGGTTGCTTACCTAAAGTCACAAATGAGGTAAACGCTTCAAAATCCTGAAACTCTAATCAACAATGTCGCAGTCGACAAAATAATATCCGATAGAAAACAGGCCGACCAGCGGCCTCTTATGTTATAGGAGTAAATTAACACTTGAGTGCGCTCCTCTGTATATATAAATCAGAGACGTATTGTAATACATACGTCTCTGTTTAAATATAACATCAGTGGCTATACCTGGAACAGCCTCCCAACCCTCATCGCCGGCAGTGCTGATCTCTCAACAGCTGAAGGCAAATCTCCTCTCTCACAAATTCTAAGCGTACATGTTGTTTTTATTGTATAGTTCTAACAAACAAAATAAAAATAATTGTTTTAACCTGTCTTTCTGACGCCTCTAAATAATGTTCAGTATATTGAACGTTTTAGAGCTCGATCGAGTATCCTGTTGAAGTTGAATGAATATGTCAGGATGAACGTTGAAGAACCTACTCGTCCCAAATTCTGCAATAAACAAAATCTCTTTAGATAGGGTAAAACTACTGCCCTAAAAGAACTGTACACTAGTCTTTATGACATTAATATTGGTAGTAAAGGGGAATTAGACATGGTTGATTGTCAGCGGCTATGTAGCTCAAGCGGTAGATCATCCATCTAGAAATCGGAGTGTTTCAGGTTCGAACCATGGTCTGGCCATGTATTTTTCAACTCCTACTCCATTTGGCGCCCAACACAGTATATCCATGGGAGTTGGTATAGAGTCTCAAGTGTCTTCGGGGTCAAAGACTTTGTTAAATAAGGGAGGAATGTAGTGGAACGAGACTGGGATGATTGATGGCGACCATGTTGTTCAGTTGGTAGATTATAGTTCGGTGGGTCCAGAGTTCGAACCCTGGTATGGCTGTGCAATTTTCGGCTCCTACTACAGTAGTAAAGATTTCTAGCTTTGATTAAACTTTGCTGAAACTATCATCTTCTATACATGTAGTCAAATGGTAAATGACTCTTTCAGAGTAATACATCTTACTTAAAAGGACTATAAACAAGTATTGTTTCAAAGACAAAATCAAGCTGTGAACTTTAAAATTATAATTTAGTATACTACAGTATGTACGAGCTGACTATCAAAGGGATTGTTAATCCTGTACATACTTCATGTATATTGTCAGAATAAATCTGTGTATCTGTGTGTTTCATGAAATGTAAAATGTTAAAGCTTTGCAGTAAAATGTTGTTTTAGATCTTGGAAGAAATTTGTGAAGAATTGAAAGAATCCAATACAAATCATCATCTTAAATTATGCAAAGTGACAACTTCCAAACACTTTGGCCTGACCTTCTATCTCGAGAGGCCACTGACATTTAAATCTACACTGGTGCCCTTTTGGGAGAATGGAATTTCTCTGTCATCTTTTTGTGATGTTGGAAATGGTGCACATGTATTGGTGGCTTCCTCAGACTGGCACAGCAGGAGCAGTGGAGATCTGGAAGACTTAAGATCCATTGTAGTTTTGGAACATGTGACTCATCTCTTAAAGGGAGCAGGGTAAGAATTTGTTGTTAATTTTAATTTACTGTACAATTAAACATTTAAAAAATATGTGACAATGCAAATAATATGAAAATACCTAAAGATGGCAATAAATATATGGATTGGTGTTGCAATTTTATGTAACATAATAAGTTTTTTTGTGTCCAGTTTTGAAAACATTATACATATGTAGTTGAAGGAATACACTTAATTTATTAGCTCTTAAATTGTTTGATATTTGGCTAATATCATTACTAGTTATACTATATGTTCTTTATTTTGAAGGTATTGTGTTGAAGCTGTAAGATGTTGTCAGCAAAAAAAATCTTCACCAGATTTACTAGACATAACAATTCCTAGCATAGCCTTAACAGGTCAGATGTCAGTAGACTGTAAAGATTTAGTAAAAACTCTTGTCGTAAATAACAGTTACTGTAAAGGAAGTCACCAATCCTTTGGCCGTTGTGACAGTGATGTTCCTTGTAAACATGTCAAGTTGGGGAAAGACAGCTCTGTGTGTGCTGCAAGTGATTCTGTAAGCAAACCTTGTGGAATGGATAAAGAAACAGGGCAGCAACAGACCAAGGTTATACTCAATCTTCAACGATTTGTTGAGGATAAGCAACTTCCTGTTGGTAAAGATGGCTATGATAAGAACCTGAAATTCTCAGAATGTGAGTATGTATTTATATTTTCACTTTATATTGCAGAAAGAACATTTAACTGTGAAAACCATGAAAACCATATGGCATCATTTACACTTTTATCTCTACTGATCTCTACTTATAAGTATATTAGATTATTTACAGAGACTCTCAATGGTTTTTGTAGAATTAATTCATGAAAGTCCTGCATATCTTTTTTAAAATCTTGATGAGTCCCATTACTTAGATATTCCGTCTTTGCGTTTTGCAGAGTTATCTTCTCTTGTGAGCAGGTATTGATTCTTACGTCATTGGTTTGTGTGAGAAAATTACGTCGTTTTCTCAAAAATTGATGACGTTACTCTCACAAACAAATGACGTAACAAGCAATACCTGCTCACAAGAGTAGATAACTTTGCAATACGCAAAGACGGAATAGTGGTTAAGGCGTCTGACATTCTGCTACCACTAGCCCTCCACCACTGGGTCGAAGGTTCGAGGCCTACCTGGGGCAGTTGCCAGGTACTGGCCGTAGGTCGGTGTTTTCTCTCCAGGAACTCTGGCTTTCCACCACCACCAAAACCTGGCGCGTCCTTTAATGACCATAGCTGTTAAAAGGACATAAAACCCAAACAAACCAAACTTTAAAAAGTTGATAAGTTCCATAGGAATCGCACAAGTCCAGAAATCATATATAGGTGTCCCAAAATACACTGGACTCTATGTTTAAAGTTATTGAAATATTACAACGAATCATAATTTTGGTATCTGATAAAATCATATATATATGTAATTTATGATGGAATGTACTTTATTACAGATTAAGTTTGTTTTGAACACAAACAGGAACTGAAAACTTAATTTGTGAGCTTTCGAAAACGTCTGTTTCCTTTGTCAATCAAAGATCAGTGTAAATGAAACAGACATTTTCTAAGCTCGCAAAATAAGTTTTCAATTCCTGTTTGTGTTCAAAACAAACTTAGTCTTTATTATTCATACAAAACTGATGAATCTTATTTTGAATATTCGTTAGTGTTTGTCCGTGTCTAATTGATTGTTTTACTCAGTATATATGTATGTGAAATACAAAGAAAAAAAGAAAAAATATAACAAGGAGAGATAACTTTTGTAAGTGACTGTAGCTTCTTGTAAAAATGTGATTTCTTAATCAAACTGTAAAACCCTTTATAATATAGAGTGAACCACATGTCTGCTGGGCACGCTAATATGATGTACTGTACATATACTAAGTAATTATTAGGATTATTCATCACAAAATGTACTGTGTTATCAAGTGAATATACCCATGTCATATTTTTTTCCATATTAACACATGTAACATGACCTATCAGCCCTGTGATTGGTTGTAAGTTTCAATTGTTTCAATTGTGACGTCACGCCTAGGACAAGTACATTGTACATGTCGATGTCACAAACTTAGGCACTGGAGTCAAAAGGGCAGCTTTTTACATTTCAAGGTTGCATGAAAACTGACGTTTTACACGAACAAATGCCACAAATCTTGATTATATGATAAAAAGGATCTTACACTTGTTTTTATTTGATATGAAACTCGTTAAAATTTTTCATTTTAGCTCGCCAGAGGCTCACTAAATTGATAAATTCTTAGACTTGGTTGATAAATCTCATATGAAATGGAAACTCATGCAAGATCCTATATATACTCATCATATTAGTGTGTCCAGCACCTGTGGAGTGAATTACACTTCAATCTCTACAAACGTAACATTCTAGTGTCTGAAGTGTTCAGTCTAAGTTTGACAGCAATGTTCTGCCATAAGTTCAAGAGCTTTTGAGAGCAAATGAAACAAGGTGTTCTGGGAGATGTTGACTGAACTCCTTTCATCGAAGAAATGTTAGACATATGTAGATCCAGATATTCCTCTGTATTGATACTTTGTCACTTACTGATTAAATGTAACATTTTTGCATACTGAAAAATTAATAAAACAAACGGAGAATAAGAAAATGTCAGATAGATCTACAGACAGTCACTACTGTTTAACTCATTCACCCCTGAAGACACATTTAACTCTTCCAATTCAAAATTTGGAATAGTTCATTCTGCAATTTCAGGGGTGAATAAGTTAAAGGAAGAAAGAGGAAGGCATGATTGATTTGACTATGACTTCTGTTTCATTTGTTTTCGCAAGCCGTTTTGAACAAAAACATTTTTTTTACCTTCAGTATATTGTGGAGAAGATACGATATCAGAGACACTAAAGGAAGCTTATCTCCTACATGAAGCCATTGGCAAGGTGAGGAAAAGTTTTGTATTAAGGCTTTCTCAGAAATGTTGAAAAACAGCAATTACTTGGTACTGTAATGAAGCTTCAGATGGTCAAATGTCATATTTGACTGAAACTACCTAAAATGCATGTACTGTTCAGGAAAAAGCAATGTCTCAAAGGCAATGTGTTAATACTGTAGTTATGTTTTATAAAAACACATATGTGAAGTTTATAAGTATACACATAGTTGATGATTTTTCATGTCATTACAAGAGATGAATATCAGTTTTTATGATTTTTTAAATCAGTCTTGCATGTAAAACGATCTGATGTTACAAGAATTTGATCTATTATAGTTACAGAAGCACGGGACAAGTACTGTTGTCCATATAGTACCGGACAGTGCCTACTTTTCCCAACAGCGAGTAGACCTCACCACCAGGACCATCTGGCCAGAGGAACACTCTCACAAACAGGTAAGTCTCACCACCAGGACCATATGGCACAAACAGGTAAGTCTCACCACCAGGACCATCTGGCCAAATGACCATTCTCACAGACAGGTTAGTCTCACCACCAGTACCATCTGGCCAGATGACAATTCTCACAGACAGGTAAGTCTCACCACCAGGGGCATATAGCTTGAGGAGCATTCTCACAGACAGGTAAGTCTCCACCAGGACCATCTGGCCAGAGGACAACTCTCACAGACAAGTTAGTCGCACCACCAGGACCATCTTACCTGAGGATCACTCTCACAGACAGGTTATTCTCTTACCCTGGACAGGTGTATCTGCACTTTTACCGGTGTGAGATTTCCTTGTCTCACCCTAGGGTTGAGATGGGGGGATTCCCCTATTCATAACAATGGTATGATGTCACGTCAACAATACAATGATGCACATCAACAATTCATCAATGTCATGTCAACCCTGAATTTAGCTGAAAGTTAAACACTACAATATGCATATGATACACAATGGGTGAACAGGGTAAGAGGTAAATAATCATTCACCCCCTTGAGGGTGAGATAGGGAAAGATTCTTAAGTTGCCAGACACTCGGACCATATGGCACAGACATGTGAGTCTCTCCACCAGGACCATCTTACCTGAGGATCACTCTCACAGACAGGTAAGTCTCACCACCAGGACATCTGGCCAAATGACCATTCTCACAGACAGGTAAGTCTCACCACCAGTGCCATCTGGCCAGAAGATCAATCTCACAGATAGGTAAGTCTCACCACCAGTGCCATATGGCACAAACAGGTAAGTCTCACCACCAGGACATCTGGCCAAATGACCATTCTCACAGACAGGTAAGTCTCACCACCATTGCCATCTGGCCAGAAGATCAATCTCACAGATAGGTAAGTCTCACCACCAGGACCATCTGGCCAGAGGACCACTCTCACAGACAGGTTAGTCTCACCACCAGGACCAGCTGGCCCTGGGACCATTAACATAGACAGGTAGGTCCTTTAATGCCTACTTGCATGAGGAACACTCTCATAATTAAATAAGGTAGTTAGAGATTTATAAAATGTTCAATTTAAAAAAAAATGATTTGATAGATGTTATTGCATCATAAGGCACGTCATTCTAGTAGAACACTTGTTAGTGTATGGTACATGTTTGTTTTGCTCTTACTGTAGCTGTATATTTTAGTGTGCAGCAAACTACATTACAACCAGCTGCTAAAGCAAAAAGACAGAAATATGCTGCTGTAATAGCTATTTCATGTGACATGCTGCTGTATATCAATTCATTTCATGAAATATTATATTTGAAATTGTTATTTAGTTTCCTAACAATTTGGTTTGGTTTGTTTATGTTTTGCGTCCTATGAACAGCCATGATCATTTAAGGACATGCTAGGTTTAGATAATAGAGGAAAGCCGGAGTACCTGCAGATAAACCACCGTTTTGCAGCCAGTACTTGGCGACTGTCCCACATAGGCCTAGAATCCATTGGTGGAGGGCTAGTGGTAGTAGAATGTCAGACGCCTTAACCGCTCGGCCACCGCAGACCCATTTTTCCTCACAGATTGTCCTATATCTGAATGAAACTTTTCTCTACTACTGTCTGTATTTCAGGTTTACCTTGTCCATGGCCCAGTCAAAGCCAGGAGACAGACACAGGCTAATGTTAAAACTGCCACAGACTTTGTACAGTAAGTATGTACTGAGGTTTTAATTCCGGTATGGCTGTGCATTTCTCTTTCTCTAATTACAAAATTGGCGAGCTCGCCGACCCTTGCTTGAAGCACTGGGTGAATGATTGTGACTCTTGGGGCGATTACCTAAAAACATGTCGGAGGGATGGAGCAGAACTTGACTGGTTCTAATGTTAGAGACCAAGTAGTCTAATTGGTAGAGCAATTGTCTAGAGTTAGAACCCTAGTCTGGCCATGCATTTTTCCGCTCCTGTTACAGATACAATCAATAAAGATGCTGCACTAGCTTCCCAATAAAGGAAATAAGACCGGTGAAACTTGAGCATGTGAGGGAAACACAATGTTTTATTTCTCTGTCATGTGATCAATATAGTCCAATCATATACGCTGCTATATAAATGAGGTATAATAATAAAAAAAAAAAATTTAATGTATCTTTTAGTACATCTTTTATTAAAAATAAGATTATAATAAATAATAATATACAACATTTGATATAGCATCCTATCCAACTAACAAGCCTCTTTAAAGCGCTTTACAGTACATATATACATTAATCAATTCAATTTTGAGGAATTCGCAGCTTCTAGTCCTATGCCACCTGGCTAATATCTCCCTATGTGTGTATGCCTGCGTGTGTGCTGGAGATGTAATGTGTTCTGTTTGTAATGGGAATGTGCTTCCAACGGCATCATTTATAGTGCCACCGTACTTAAACGCTACAGCACAGATACCGCAACATCCACCCCAAACCATACTCCACCTGGGTTGTTGGAGTTGTGTGGGCAGTAGAAAAACACTTTCTCTGAATATCCATGCGTACAACGACTTAGGGGATTGAACCCTGGCCGCCTGCGTGAAAGGCCAGAGTGTTAACCACTCGACTAATTCGCCCATATGGATATATGATAAATTTCTATCGGAATGATAATTGTATGCAGACTATAAAACATTGTTTTGCTTAATATATTCCTGGTATAGTTGTGACTCTAAACTTGTTTATACTTTAAGGTTGAGATTTTCTCAGATGAAATCTGCTGCAGTAATGAAATATGGAGAGGAAGTCAATGGTAAACTATTGTTTATTCTAATATTTTCAGTTTTAACCCTCTCACCACTGTAGATCATAATGGACTCATCCATATCAATGCATGGTAGAGTCTACTAAAGTTACATAGGGGTGAAAGGTTTAGAAACGACAGCTTTTATGGTACCATTAAATTGTTGTTTAATTATTTTATCACAGAAATAAATGTTGGATTATCATAACGTTTTCCTATACAGGATTGTTGTCAGCTTTAGATATTTGTTCTGAAGTACAACTCAGATAAGTGTTTTTGTAATGAATATAGTTAAATAGATTCTTTTGTATTTGGCTGCATTAATTAAAAATACTGATCTCCCACTGTGAAGACAGAGTTACACTTGACACTGTTTGCTGTGTTGAATGTGAAGAAATTATCATTTTGATGTTTGTACAGGCCCTGGATGGCAGTCCACGATTTCCGTTCTCACATCGGCTGGGATCAAGTTTGAAATGCTCTCCACTGTCAGCAGAAGTACTGTGAGTTGATAGGTTTTCAGACCTACCTGTTGACAGAAAAAGATCACATACCATTTATAATCTACATGTTATGTTGATGACAACTTATTTTACATTGGTGTTGGAAATCAGAAATCGTAATCCATTATCAGAAGACTTTTAATGAATGATTATCGATTATAATCGGAACATCCAAACTCTGATTGATCTATTTGAAATATGTGTAATTGTGATGATTAGAATAGGGGTTTGCAGCATACAGTCATTTTGCCATGAAAAATCAAAGGCTGACTTGGTTCATCTATTTGACAGTCTTTTATATATGCTTTTACACTTTTAGTTTTAACCCTTTCACCCCTATGTTACTTTAGTAGACTCGACCATACAGTGATATGGAAGAGTCCATTATGGTCTACAGTGGTGAAAGGGTTAACCTACTACTAGAATTTTAGTAAGAGTAAATCTGACAGATATCAATAGAAAACAGCATGCAGCTGTGGTTTATATTGTAATTGTTCTATTTCACTTTCATATAGAGGGAGGGTGATGCAGACATTGGACCAATTCTAGGATAAGGATTACTAAACCAATCTCTTCCCCTATAAAGTTATGTTAGAGAATACTTAAACATCTCATATATGTTTCTTCCTCATTAACCCAAAACTAATTAGTCAGATGCATTGAAAATAATAAAATTAATAAACTAATCCTACAAATGTATATTTTTAGAGTATGGTTAATTAACTCACTCTAATCTGAATCATAAACTCAAATTTTGAAAGTTAAGAAATAATACAATGCTGTGAGATATGTTTTACCTGACAGGTGAAGCTGGATCTGTCCGAGGGGGAGAGTGGAGCTGGTAGTGACACTCGGACGGGCTCTTTTGTCATGTATAATTGTGCAAGACTTACCACGCTTTTCAAACACTTTGAAGAATCTGTGGGAAAAGGTGAGTTGGGTGGGGGGGGGGGCATATCTCAATGTCAGAACAATTTGCCTTTGCGCAAAGACGGATGTCTGTCAATTTTATCACACAAAAGAATATGACAAAAGAAGTTAACAACTAGTGAATTGACATTCCTTGTAATTTTACTTACAAGTTCAAGTTTGAGTAATGTTCATTATAATGTTACGCATTGCAGGTCAGTACCCTCCGCTTCCGAATATTGCTGATGTGGATTTCAGTCTTCTCAGAGACGAGGTAAACCTAATGTAAAGACAGATGGGTCACCAATTTTATTAATTACATTTTAAATTTTTATTCTATTGTACTTATGATAATTGTTTATAAGCAATTATTAAAGTTAACAAATTTTTGAGGAACTGTCAGAAACTAACATACAGATGTCGATTTAGTTCACTGCAAGAGTGGTATTTTTAGACTAGAAGGCCTAACTGTTGCTGAAGGTGCCAAAAAGTCGTGTTAAGAAACCTAGTGATTTAGTGATTTCAATCATTTTAAACATTAGATGCTTTAAAGCTCTCTAGTAACTTATTTTAGTGTAGTCATCGTTGCTTAAAGCAATTGCACACACTGACAGTCAAAGTTAGCCAAAGATCATTGTCAAATGGCCCGAACACTTTCTCCTTAACATCAGGAAAAATGCATTGTCCAAAAGGGAAGGGAACTTACATTTCCTTGTCCTTTTTTGTGTAGAAATAAATTTTAAAGATGAAATGATGTCTGTAAAGTGATCTTTAGTGCCTCTCTAACATGTACAGAATTCCAGATACGAAAGTATTGTTATTTTACAGGATGAGTGGTCGTTGTTCTTCCTATATATATTTCCCTACCCTGACCTGATCAGAGAGACGGTTGAAGAATTAGTGCCAAAAGCTGGCGGTATCTCAGCTAAGATACACACTCACAAGGTAACACAGGCTACAGTTGTTTAACATCTAGTCTGCCAAACTTCAACTTTTACTTCAAGTTGAAAAGAAATTGCTTATTGAATATAACTTTGGGCAATACATTTTACATATTTTGGAAATGTTTCCTGTTCAGCATTTTAACTTAAAACATCTATAGAATTTAGAAAATGTGTGCTGGGACAGTAACAGGTACAGTATGCTAAACATGGACAAATTAATAATTACTTAGTTTATAATATTTGAAATTCTAAATTACACTGTAATTTTGTAAATATACAGCAGTTCTTGAGGTGGAAGTAGGGATAACATGTCCAAATTGTAATAATAAACATGTGCTGAAATACAGAGTTTAGTTTATAGAACCTGTTTATATTTTCTGATGAAAAAAATATATACCAAAATGTGTTGGTAATGCCATCATTGAGCAGCCCCTTAGACATTGATTTCCATTCCTGAAAAAACTCCCTTTAATGCCATTTAACCAATAATTGAATATAAATAATGTATACCCTAGAAATATAGTATTTTCTAGCAAATGTCAATTCATGAGTAAAGCTGTTGGTTTCCTTAAACTGTCATACATATCTGTAAGAAGTTTTGTTGATTTTGTTTTCTTGACAGATTTGTAACTTACTCATCAGCTTCAGCCACAGCCTGAGTTCATACTACAGTAGGATTCACATCTTAGGGGTGAGTTCCCATTTTATTTCAACATTTACTTCAGATAGATTCCTATTTGAAACATCAAAACGTAAATTTGATCCTTCTCCAATTAGTCGCTAGAAGAACAATAACAAAAGTGTTGTAACAAGTAATTAGTAGTATAATGTTTTGTTATAAGATGTATATATATATATTTTCCCCAGGAGAACCGCCCACACTTGCTGCCCTTGATGTACGCTCGTCTGTACTTCATGAAGATAGTGTACAAGGTACTGAGCCATGCCCTCCGACTCCTTGGTGTAGAGCCCATGTCTCAACTGTGAACATTCATTACGTTCAAAAAAGATATTAAACATTTAACCTATATCTGTCTTCGGGTTTATTTTGTTAAATATAGCAGAGAAAATATGTAAAAGATTCATGTGTGCAATTTAGTTGCGGTCATCATTTTAAATAGTGAAACAAACCAGATTAATCTTTAAACTGTTCACCATGTTAAGAATTTTATAATGCTATATATAATTTTAAACAAAATATCTCAACAACATTCTTATTACTTTTATCTCTTCAAGAGATTCTTCACTAAAGAAACTAGTTGAAGAGATGAAAGTACTAAGAATGTGTTGTTGAGAGTTTTTCTTATTGAATTAGTTCTTTGTACATATAGGGTCATTTAATACCGTTTGTCAGTATCGGTCGATACTGCTGCCTGGAACGTTAACTGTCGGACGACTTTCAGTTTTTGTGTCGCCTGCAAAAAGCTGGTGACACATAGGTATTGCTATGTCGGCAGCGTCAGCGGCGTCCGAACAGAGGTTTTCATGCGATAACTTGAGTTTCCTTGGGCCGATCAAACTCAAACTTCATGCAGTGCTTCCTTACCAAAAGTGCTTGCTTGGGATTGCTTTTCAGGTCAGAAGGTCAAAGGTCAAGGTCACTGTTACTATAAATAGAAAATCTGTTTTCGTGCGATAACTTGAGTTTCCTTGGGCCGATCAAACTCAAACTTCAAGCAGTGCTTCCTTACCAAAAGTGCTTGCTTGGGATTGCTTTTCAGGTCCGGAGGGCGAAGGTCATTGTCACTGTTACTATAAATAGAAAATATGTTTTCCTGCGATAACTTGAGTTTCCTTGGGCCGATCAAACTCAAACTTCCATGCAGTGCACAATCTCCCAGCTAGACAGGCTGATGTCACAAATCTCTCGTGTGATATCGTAGATATCATGATACTTATGTACTGCTAAAAACTGTCGGGGATGACACGTGTACAACAGAAAGTTCGGACAGTTAAGGAAATTCTGCTTAATCTATTGTAACGAACATTTAAGGTTGGGGGAGGAACAGACAGTAATTACGCGCCATTAAATTGTAAATCCTTTTTATGGAAAGATAATTATAAGAGCACGTCTTCTCGGAACGCATCTAGAATGGCCAACTACAGACCTTAACTGACCATCTCAATAATGCTGACAAAACTGGAAATACCACATTTACACACAAAGGAGATACATGTGGATCCATCCATTTCTTCACATTTTGATGATGAGAAAAGAAGGCGAAACAATCACTTCCTGGTATATTAATCTCAAACCACCTACTATAATATAAGGAGAATCGTATAAATACTTCCACTTGTATCCAATCTCATTGCTGAAAAGGGTAATTGATATTTTTAAACTTACTGTAACATAGGAAGATTTTAACAGACTTGTTAGATATACCGGTATGACGTTAGGTTCTCACTTAGTCCCAATTATTCAGACATTTTATCGACTTTTTTTTATATCGGTCTGTCGTCGATTAACCGATATAAACGAAATATAATCGACGACAGACCGATATGAAAAAAAGTCGAAAAAACGTCAGAATAATTCGGACTACTAAGCTTCTCACTGTGAAACCAGTGCCCATGTTCATGTAACCGTTCTCATGCTCAAGCATGGATTCTATGCTCAAACCAGCTTTCTTGTAAATGAATAAAGTCTTGTTAACAATCAAAAAGTCAAATGAAAACATTGAAACAGTATTCGGCTTTAAATCTCTTCAATGTTGTTCGATTTAAAAAAAAAATGTTATTCATTTTTAACTGAAACAAGAAATTAGGCTTGAGCACACAATCCATACTTGGAGTATGAGAACGGTTTTATGAATACAGACCCAGAAATGAAGAAGGACACATCCATGCATCTAGGATTTTCTTCAGACTTAAACTTGTGGATTGCGAAATCATCAAGAACAAGAGAATGTAAACCATTAAAAACAGAAAGAATGAGTGGAAACCATAAGGCAAATCGAATCGAGATGAAAAAGTTGTGACATTTTATGTGAAAAGCCTTGCGCTGGGCGTGGATAGAATGAAACGGAAACATGGGATTGTTACAACATTGACGCCCAACCGCGATGATGCGCAACTGGTCAGGAATGTCATAGAAGAAATCGTGCGTATCAAGTCCAGCTCTCTCAACGCTTGAGATCGATGTTTTTTTGACTTGCAACATGTTGGGACTAACTAGAAAAATATGCCAAGACATCTTCATATTTTAGAAATGGTTTTAATTGTTTTACCAAGAGCGCACGATAACGCACTGATAACATTGCCGTGTGCAAAAAATCATGACATTTTCATTAAAAAAACAGCATCGTTAATAATCTCGATGTAAACACTCCAGGCATTGTTAGATTTCGTTTATACCGCACTGTTTACACCCATCAAAAAACGTGGTCCTCTTTAGTTATGTCACTTTTATTTCTCCGACACTGGCCAAGCCATGGACACCCGACTCTCAATCTCCTTGTTGTATTTCTTATATATCTCCGGAAGTTCAAACAATGAGTAGGAAAACGATGGTGTAAATGATAGTGACGAAACGTTCCCGAGCCTATTAATTTCACGATTCTTCAACTTGCGTTCAATTTCTCGAAAGTATGCCTTGTTCATCATGTCAAGTAACGGCTTCTTGGGAAATGTGAACTTCTTTTTACGGGATCGCTTCAGTTCTTTCTTCGCTGTTTCTACTGTAGAATCTTCGGTTCTTTTCTGTAAGCCCTGTGGACATAAATGTTTAAAACATGCATTTGAGTTAATATAACATACGCTGAAAAGATAACCAAAATCCCATTACATATTACAAAACAAGCGCGCAATGGGTTATTTTATTTAAATACATACCACCACTTCTGGGGCTAGTACGCCTGGTTCCTTTTTGTGACTATTGTCCTGTTTCTTTGCGGCGTTGTTGCCTTCGACAAGCTTGTTTTTGCTGGTGCTTTGTTTAGGGATGGTCTGAAGGAGATGATTCAGGGACAGGTTTGATATGTTCCTGTTGGTGGCCGAGCTTGAAGGCAGCTTTACCTCCGATACAGGCCGTTTCCGTGGGATTAGATTTCCGGCTACTGTAAAGACATAGTGTCACCATGTTAACCTTCAAATGCATTTAATTACCGCTACAGTTGATGGGATACTGTTTAGTAGTGTTTACCCTATTGAAACGTACAAAAACACTCTACTGCTGCAGCTGTTTTAGACATGGTTTATTCTTCTTGTAAACTATACTGTAACCTCAGTCAACCCGTTTATTGAATTGACAAAGTAACAAAGTTAACGGTTAAGTGAAGAAAATGGTTTTAGTAAGTTTAGGAAAGAGAATCTGCTAATGAATCTTACTGATTTTATTTTTAATTAAATCACAAACAAAACATGATGTACGCACGTTTATTTGAGCGATATATATAGATATATTTAATCTGGTAAACTCACCGACTTTATGTCTCGCCATTCTAGATAGGAGCAGTCTCTCCTTGGATGACTTGTCCATTCTGACTCTAAAAAGTCCAGAGGGCGATTGGCCATGGGAGTCACCCGATGGATTAGAATTGTCTAATTTGACAATGGCGCCGCTGTCACTAGACGCATGGTAAACCAGACTTCGGTCTATTGGCTTAACAAATCTGAATTGAAGGAAAAACAAATATTTCAAATGACTTATTTTAATAGAATAGGAGAGAAAACACAAACATCCGCCTTTCAGCATCTATATGGAAGTGAATCAGGCTTGAAGCATTAATATGGAGGTAAATCATATTGACTCGAATCATGTAGCTTGCAAGATGATACAGAAAAGAGAATTTTTCTATAATCAGGTACAATCATGCATATATGAAATGTTCTGTCTATTAATTTAGAACATCTCTATAAACTGACAAAACATATTTCGTTTGTTTCTGCTGCCTCGAAGATACCGTTTTAATATTAGAAGATGGTTACCTGATAAGCTCGGGCAATATTTCGCTAATGAAAAAGCTTTTCAGCTTTAATTGCATCCCATTGGAATTGGATTTTGTTAAATTTCTATAAGTCAAGGAGATTTATTTTAATGGTTGTTTTTGCATAATAACAAGGATAACACGACGAAAATTCTTAAAATACTAGGAATACTGGAAGGTCATCGTTGATGCTTCACTTCTTTTTATTGTCCTATAAAGACGCTTACAGTACTTACATGTAACGCATTGAACACAGATGAACTCAACACTATTAACGGCTATGGTCATTTAAGGACGTGCCAGGTTTTGGTGACACGCGCACGTTACTCCACCAATACAAATTGGCTAGTAGTTGATAGAGTAAGTCAAAGATGAATTGTACCTTACAACTGTTTCGTCCTTTTAGGTTTCACCGGTGACACTAAGAGCCAAAGAGGCGGAAATCCAAATTAATCTTAACTTAGGAATATCTGTGTGTGTGTAACAAACCCTTTTATAAAAAGTTTGTTTCCACGTAGTCTGCACGCTGTTTCTGTTCTGATCCTAAGGGACGCTTACCATTGATACATATGGTAAACATCATTATTAAATGGAAGTCAAACATCAACCGTTCATAAGTGTGACGTTTCCCATAGGTAAACAAGCGAGACACGAATCACAAGTATAAAAGAAAAAAACAAAATCACCTGCTCGGGTCTTCCTGGAATGGCATGGCCTTTCTTGCGTAGGTTGTTTTCTTAGCCTTGAACAATGGAAGTTTGGGAGTCGATTTGGTGAGGTTTTCTTCTTCCTCAGTCTTGGCTGTTGGGAGCGGGGGCGTGTTTGACTTTCTGGCTATAGTTATCTGGGTGGTCTGAAGAGGGGAATTGCCCAGATCAGGGGTGAGGCCATGTTCTTCCTCCCGCCCGCTGTAGGATCCGCCGTGGAACACTTCTTGTTGTAGCGTATCTATAGATGTATGTAACAAAGATGGACATGAGCCACACACGTATGATTGCATCTGTACAATTTGGAATGGGTACAGTAGGTCAAAAGTGCATTACATCGCTCCACGCGTTTGTTTTGTCCGAGGACTCCTAGATGGCGCTAGGGGGTCAACAGTGGACACCCACATTTGTCTTAACAACTGATGCAACATAAGAGGAGGTAGGGGAGTTGATGCTTATAACTTCTTAATCATACTTATTTCAATTTTTACCAGAGTATTGGCTAATTTCAAATTCGTTTTGAGTAAAGTGTGAACATTATGAACTGTGTCACGACTGAACAGGGATAGTCTTGACAACAAAGGGTACGGCGAACCGCGGGACCTAAAACATTTACGAGCATTTACGTTTTAATATGCATACAGCTGGTATAAATGTGAGGTATTTTGTCTAGTTATTTATTACGCCAAAACTCTAATAACTGACAAATGAAAAGTCGTGAAGTTGTCGTGGAAAACCTGACGTCGCATGCTTTATGACGTCAAAATTATGCTGACATCAACGTTGGCCGAACTTACTCCAGACTACCTGTCCTTACTTGCCCCAAGGCAGGTCACCCAATATTCAGACAGGAAAGGTTGATTAGTTCTTCCAATGTGGACATGTTAGCCCATTTGTAATTATTTAATGAAAGGCATAGAATATATTTTCAAAATGGTGGACATGTTAGCCCATTTGTAATCATTCTATGAAAGGCATAGAAGATATTTTCAAAATGGTGGACATGTTAGCCCATTTGAAATAATTTTATAAAAGGCATAGAAGATATTTTCAAAATGGTGGACATGTTAGCCCATTTGTAATCATTTTATGAAAGGTATAGAAGATATTTTCAAAATGGTGGACATGTTAGTCCATTTGTAATCATTTTATGAAAGGCATAGAATATATTTTCAAAATGGTGGACATGTTAGTCCATTTGTAATCATTTTATGAAAGGCATAGAATGTATTTTCAAAATGGTGGACATTTTAGCCCATTTGTAATCATTTTATGAAAGGTATAGAAGATATTTTCAAAATGGTGGACATTTTAGCCCATTTGTAATCATTTTGTGAAAGGCATAGAATATATTTTCAAAATGGAGGACATGTTAGCCCATTTGTAATCATTATATGAAAGGTATAGAAGATATTTTCAAAATGGTTGACATGTTAGTCCATTTGTAATCATTTTATGAAAGGCATAGAAGATATTTTCAAAATGGCGGACATGTTAGCCCATTTGAAATAATTTTATATAAGGCATAGAAGATATTTTCAAAATGGTGGACACGTTAGTCCATTTGTAATCATTTTATGAAAGGCATAGAAGATATTTTGAAAATGGTGGTCATGTTAGCCCATTTGTAATCATTTGATGAAAGGTATAGAAGATATTTTCAAAATGGTGGACATGTTGGCCCATTTGTAATCATTTTATGAAAGGCATAGAGTATATTTTCAAAATGGTGGACATTTTGGCCCATTTGTAATCATTTTATGAAAGGTATAGAAGATATTTTCAAAATGGTTGACATGTTAGTCCATTTGTAATCATTTTATGAAAGGCATAGAATGTATTTTCAAAATGGTGGACATTTTAGCCCATTTGTAATCATTTTATGAAAGGCATAGAATGTATTTTCAAAATGGTGGACATTTTAGCCCATTTGTAATCATTTTGTGAAAGGCATAGAATATATTTTCAAAATGGTGTATTTGCACCTAAATTTCGACAAATGCCATACAGGCCAGAATGACTAAAATTAAAATGGGCATAGAATATATTTTCAAAATGGAGGACATGTTAGCCCATTTGTAATCATTATATGAAAGGTATAGAAGATATTTTCAAAATGGTTGACATGTTAGTCCATTTGTAATCATTTTATGAAAGGCATAGAATATATTTTCAAAATGGTGTATTTGCACCTAAATTTCGACAAATGCCATACAGGCCAGAATGACTAAAATTAAAATGGGCCTAACTGGAATACGTTTTTTTAAGTATTGACTTTCGCTAAATGAAAACTTAACTAATTTTAGATAAACAGTCGAAACCCATATTTGACCGACTGTTGCATCGATTGGATCGGAGCCTCAAGGAGACGATGAGCTCTAAAATAAAGCATGAGGCGAGCCTAGCTGTTGTTAGGGGAGAGGGGGCTGTTTCATTTTGTGCGTGTTTTGGACATATATATACATAGCAATGGGTACTGTATCTTCATATTAGTTTAACCCAAATAAGCATGTTCCTGTCATATTTGCTTTCTTTATGAAAGAATGATGAATTGTAATTTCAAATAACATTTTTCGGCAACAACCATATATTTCATATTTCATCTGACATTCCACTATTGAAACGATCAATACATTGAACAACACTATATTTTGATCGATATTCATTATACTGAATACTCATGATTAAATATCAGCCCAAAACTCATCCCAAACAATATCATAGATGCAGGATAATCTAGAGACGTGTCAGACCCATGTTTAGTGTGTACAGACATTGTGAAAATACAAATTTTTGGCATTCAAATATTGTGTAGTATAAATTGAATAATTCAATATGAGGTATGCTGTACATTGTACCTCAATTGCTAGCAAAAGGTAAACAGTATGCAAATTATATGATACTTGAAAAAAAAGCAATATATCATTTTCACAGTACTGACCCTTAATGATAATGTACACTTGAAAGCACAGGTGAACTTTCAGCCCGTATATAATTACTTTACCTAATTCCCACAAAAGGTGTAGCCGAACTCCCTACTGACAGAACGTCAATACGTACAGGTAGTGCATGGGTAACCAGTTAGGGTCAGATAAAACAAAGACCAGGTGATCACTGACCTGACTGGACACTTGCTAACATTGATAAGAGGGATTTATCCCCTGTTGTTTAGGGTAGTAAAATCAGCGTAGTTAAGGCAACACCCTCAGGCCTACAGGTATTGAAATTGATGGTTAGGGGAAGATATAGGAAACATTGGTTCAACTTGTTAATGAGAAATTCAAATATAAAATGGAAGAAAATCTTCAAATATATTTGGGTCAGATTAATTTTGGACAAAGAAAAAAAGGTGTTGCCCGGACCACTATGGAAACAACCTTGCACCCTCACTGGGTATAGCTTTACCTTTCGCTCTCTGTTCTAAAGCAGTCCGTATCCTCTCCTTGTGTTCCTCGATAGTACCATTGGAATTGCTACCACTCGTGGTTACACCCGTTTGCGTGTTATACGAGGTAAAATCTTTGTCGGACGACATAAACTCGCAGCTTGCATCGTAGTGAAGATCATGTAGATTGCTATTGGATCCGTGGTACCCAAAGTCATCCTCCTCGGGCAGTCTTCGTCGCCTGCGAAGTTTAACATTCGACAGAGGCGGATCATTGGTCTTATTGTCCCTATTTTCTTCAGAGGAACTTTCACAGGGTGAGACAGTTTTGTACCCTGACTCATCTCCTATGTTCCGTTTACGCCTTCTCCGCTTCCATCTGTTGTAGCGTTTATCAACAATTGGTGTGTAACACAACTCGATGCTGTCCGGCACGGTGTTCAGCTCTAAAACAAGGAGACTATCATGAATTAGTAAGTGCATTTAGGACGTGACGTACTACATTGTATATAATCCGCAAGAAGTTGTAGAAGTATAAGTGTGACCTATTTTACTCGTCACTGTAAAACACTTAGACTTTGTATAATAATTCATAAAAAAAGTAGTAAACAAACATATTCAACATGCACATCTCCAACAAGAAGCATGTACACGTTTGAAATTAAGAACGATTAAGAACATTTTTGGTATGTTTTAAATAATACATTGTCACATACCGGGTAAGAACTGCCGCTTGGGAACATCTATAATATCTGCACACTCTTGTAACACCTGCTTGACCTTGGCACTGCATTAAAGCAAGTAAAATGTATTTAATATTCATTACAATCTTATCTATCAATTGTCTATGTATTACAGACAAAATATATAATGTGTTTTTAACATGTGTAGGACAACTAGGATTATGTGACATGGTGCTCAGTCTGCACTGCTACATGCACTTTTCTATAAGAGTTCATGGAAGCATGTCAGTTTCTGACGCCTTATACATTTCTTTGTAAAGAATGATATCCTGAATCTTAACGATGTTTAAAGTGAATTACTTTGGTCGTTTATAAAACTTGAACAAACATAGTCTGTTTGGAGGCTGGTGATCTTTACTTAAAATCGAGCTAAATCGTACGACTTTGTGAGCACTGACCTGTCGAATACTGTTGGAGATTTGTCGTCCTGCAGGTTGGGTGTTGTGTCATCACACGTGTTTGAGTTACTGTTAATCTCATTGGGAGTAAGTTTTGAACCCCCTCTCTCGGCGACCGTGGTCCGAGACAGTACACTTTTGGGCTTTGTTTTAACATTGATTGATGGCAGCGCAATAACATCCTGCTCTCGCAAACTATCTCTATTGTAAGACATACTTTTACAAGGAGATCCCATCCGCTCTTCGTCCTGGTATGGTTCTACTTGAGTCGGAGGTTTCCAATCTAAGGACCAGAAAGAAGGCTCTTCCTTTTCACATTTCGCTTTCACAGACGGTTGCACATTGTTTATAATTGCTGTCTGGCTCCTATCTGGCGTTTTCTCCATGTGTTCTTTAGTCTCTTTATCTACTGTTGTCTGTTCGGGAGTCGATAGATTGACATGGCTTACTCCATCGTTATACTTTTTCTCTACCAGAGGTTTCTTATTATTGTCCAAATCACTAACTGTGAGTTCCTGTTCTCCTTTCTCATCCAACACATCTGCTGAAAATAAAATAATTAGGAAATGTTGTAAGTGGCTCTTTCAGTGATGGGTTTCTTTGATTTCATTAAACAATTTTGTAAGTAGATATGAACAGTTTAAACGTTAAACCTCGATAAAAGCACATTTTAAACTCTGTTCGTAACAGTACATGCATAAATTGAACCAAAATAGTTGATTTGGTTTTGAATTAACATAATGGACTCTGTAGATAATCAGATAAAATAAACGTGTACTCCAAAAAACCGCCATCGAGACAAAGATTACCATAAGAAAACATGAACAGCTAACTCATTACTCGGCATACAACATTAATCCAGTCTACACTTTGGGGATCTTATTAACATTCAATATCAAGCCATGCAATTGAAAACAGGATTTTTATAATGTTATTTTAAGCAAAGCTATGGAAGATATTTACCGAGGCGTGTATACTCTCAATGTTAAAGTATTGTTAAATCTCTGACATTTACGTAAGTGATTTATGGTTGCCGGCCGCGAGGGGATATCCCGTCGCTCAACCTAAGATATGTTTGTATGGCAGATCTACAGTTTACATACAGTGAGCAATAGGAATATAAAATAAACTGATCGACAAAAAGCCAACTCAATCAATAGTATATATGTAGATACTTTGAGTACATATACAAACTCATGCATGGCTGTATTTATTGAATGTGTGACTGCTACAGGCAAGGAACATGGGTATGTTGCGTCACTTTATAATGTGTTTTCATGATAATATCCAAAGTTTTACATAAATGCGTGGAAAATAATGGGAAATAGAGAAACTAAATGAAAACGATCGCAGACATGAACACTCACCTGTAAGACTCCTAAATTGTATATGATGTATATATCTCACTGGATTTACATTACATTTGTAGCTTACGTAACAATTAATACGACGGGGGAGAATGAGGACCAACTTACGTTCATTGTCAACATTTTAAAACCCTGTTTTGACCCTCTTAACTACTAATGAGATAATCCTCATTGTCCAGTGCTAACGTTAAGGTATGTAACTGCTGGTCTTAAGTACAGGAGGATTATTCGATAATTAGCTTTGGGAAAAACCACTGTACCAAGTCCGTTAAAGCATTGTTACCCGAACGAGCCGGTTTTATTTCTCTTCAAAAATAAATATTTCAAATTATATTTACATTTACAAAACTGCTACTAATTTCTTGTCATAAGACCATTATGAGTCATTGCTTAAACATGTCATTTTTTTTTTTACATATCACAAATGATATTGTTTTATTAAATCGTTGTGAAACTGAACATGCTCTGGATAACTGGGGTCTGTCTGAAGTTTCTTGGCCTAATGTATATTGTGTAAAATCATCCAGTCAAAAAAAGTCAAGGATAAAACTTACGACAGATTACAACAAATTCAACACATGGAAAAAATATACAACATATTCAACACATGGACAAAATATACTACAAATTCAACACATAGATAAACTATACTACAGATTCAACACATGGACAAAATATACTACAGATTCAACACATAGACAAACTTAACAGATTCAACACATGGACAAAATATACTACAGATGCAACACATGGACAAAAAATACTACAGATTCAACACATGGACAAACTTTACCATAGCTTCATCACATGGACAAAATATACCACAGCTCCAACACAGGGACAAATTATACCACAGCTTCAACACATGGACAAACTATACCACAGATTCAACACAAATGACAAACTATACCACAGATTCAACACATGGACAAAATATACCACAGCTTCAATACATGGACAAACTATACCACAACTTCAACTCATGGACAAAAATACATAACCAACGATTCCACACTCAAGGACAAAATACACCAAAGTAGGACAGAAAGCACAGTGTCAACACGTACGAACAAAAAATTACAACAGCGTCAACATTCATGTAAACTGGTAAAAGGACCCATATAAGTTACCTACTACGATCATGTATACAGCAGGCGTATACCAATACTATAATCTGAACAGTTAAAGGAATAATCGGGGAAAATACCGATTTTATATCCCTTTAATAGACCCATGTACTCGTAATCTTTACACTTTTTATATAAGACATTTTTCAGGAACATTAGATAGCATTACCAGTATACTTAGCCTGTCAAACATCTCTGTATATCTGCCTCGAACATTTACTGTTTACAGTATTGACAGGGAACGTGGATACATTCTTTCGTCGTTAATTCGTACTAATGAACTTCAGCTAGTTTGGGCGAAAACAACATTACACCATCCAAGCACGCAAAATTTGGTTACAGTAAGAATACATAGTATTTGAGATATTCCTCGAATTGACATATGGATGGACAGAGAGCAAACCTTTAGCTCCCTCTAGTTGTAGCAGTGGTACATTACATTCTGTTACTGTCAGGTAAACTACTCATAAACTAGTCCGTATGTTTTTCTTTCGAAAAAGAAAACTGGTGTTTGGTAAATTACAATTGCTTCCATTCGTTTTGATTGATACTACGTTGCACGTGACATTTCACGTGCAACATAGTATCAATCATGTACCAGAACATTAATGAATGTTTGTGTATTTCTGTTTGGGAAACAGGGTACATTTATTCATATCTAGTATAAACTGATCATGTAACAGGCACAACGTGCAGTCTTACACAACAGTGTTTAGGTTCTCCACTAATACATACAGCATATTGACAATTTTGTCTTTGGCTTGTTTTGTTATTGAATGTTCTTGCGACATCTTAAGTGATATAAGGACGGCGTACTGACATGATGAATACTCATTGGAATACGATATAGAACGTGGAAACGGTCATCTGAATGCATGATGTTAGGTAAACAAACGAATTCCTGATATAAGTAACGGATCAACAACAGAAACGCTACTGAATACAACAAGTCGATATTCTTTGATGACTGTTGATAAGCCGTGACAGTATGTGCAATATTGAATCGTGACGTTGTTACCTAACTGACACTAACATGAGGATTCATCTTGTTGCCGCTGTATAACACATGACTTACATGAGGAAGAGTACGCTGCATTACAGCTGTCGAGATGTTCCTCCTCTGTGGGAGAGGATGACGGCTTCACCGGGTCCTCGGGACTTTTATTGACCCACAACCTGGAGACTTGGCGTTTTTGTTCATCATCCAGCGAACAGGACAGCGACGACTCGAGGAACTTGTGAATGTCGTCAGAGATGGGAGTGTAGTGTGACGTACACCGCTCCAGGTTGTCCGCCGTTGTGTACCTCTGGTAGGCGTAGAAGGGCGAGCTCGAGTCCATCACCAACGACTCGTGGCAAGTCATTCGGTCAGCGCATTTATCACAGCAGTAGCTGACTCGTTTCACGTATCCAGGGTTGAAATCTCTACTGCTCTGTAAAAGTAATATTTAATGGTATGGTAGGAGGTCTGGTTTTAATTCCAACTCGAGTGTTTAAGTAGTGTTTGCCACAAATACTTGGGAATCTAATGATACAAAGCTTAAGTAAACATTTCATGGTGTAGTTTCAACACTGTTAGAATAGGATGGCTCGTCAATATTCGCTTTCAAGTTTGGATTAGAACATTCATAGCGATGGTACCAATCAATTAAGCAAAAGGTTATGCCAGGTTGGAAACTGGATCGCCAAAATCTATTGGTGTTAAGTCCACATAAAATATATAAGTCTAGATGATCCTTGCATTTATATACCTATATTATTGCTCATCACGAATACCTACTGTTTACTGTTCTTCACAGCGACGACACCTGATATCGAGCTAAATTTAATGTCAAATATATTCACAGTATCTAGTACTAAACATACGTGTAGCTGTGGCGCTTGCGGAGACAGTTACACCAACATTGTGCAAACAGGTTCACATTGAATAACGCAAACAAATTATCTGTAGACTTTACTTCAGAATTTTGCGATTATGATCACAGTTCTGAAGCTAGGGTCAACGCCTATGGAGATTAAACATAAGCGTCGGCTCCCGCTTGGAATTTCAAAGCAAGATAAATACAAAACAATATGGATATAGGAAGCTTAAATCAGAAACAGTTAGTTTGAGAATTCACTTTACGACAAATACGGGAACTAATTAACTTACACCTGTGTGGATGTTAAAGGTGTGATAAGACAAGTCCTCACAGAGCATTTAAATAACACAATTACTATAAAATAAAATCATTATCGTGTGCAACATATTCCAACTGTTATTTTGATACTGAATATTACACTATTTCAAGAAAGAATTGTTCCTTTTATTGAAGATTTTAGCAGAAAAGTTTGTAAAATATCATTACTAATGAGAAAATTCCCATTTTTTGACAAGTTAACTTACATTGTTCTAAAACGAGTCTATTTTTTCGTACTTGCCTAAAAGTTGGCTACTTATAATATCTTTCAACATCATTTAAACAAAATTGACAACCAGTAAATTTGTCACATAGCACTTTTCATTTAAGAAAAAAATAAACATAGCTTTCTTTCCACTTTTCCTTTCTAACCAAAGGTCTTGATGTTTGGCAAGTAGATTGTTCATGTAAATAAGTATACGCTTTGTAAACGTTGGTGACCTTAACCTTCGTTCAAGGTTACAAAAATTAAATTTGTTAAAATATTAATTTGTATGGGGAGCAGACAAGGATATCTTTCCTTGCTTTATTTGTTTAGAGTTAAAGATATAAAAATAACGTAATATTCATTTCATATCTTGTTTGATGAATTGGCAATAGGCAAAATAAAATAATAATTAAGTAAATATTAGTTTTACTATTAAGAATATTATTATTATTATTATTTTACATAAATGCATATCTTTGTCTATAACACAATCTCAACCTTAGCTAGTTCTCCAGAGGAAAGATTACTTTGGCAGAATATTTTTTTTATGAGTTAAAAACTCTATAACTTTAAAACATGCGTAATATAACAAAGTGCTTTGGTATGATACAAAAACAGTAAATGCATTGGTACTTAACATAATAAATATTGATTATCAAATCGCCATGATGATGTGAAATTGGGCATTGATCATATTTGGCATACTAAACTTTTTTTATTGGTTTTGATAGTACATAAGAATGATTCTGTAGACAGAATATCTATATAGAAAGTGTTTAATCAAGTTTAAAATATAGACTACCATTGTAATTGTATATAGGCAAGTTGACAATGTTGGTTATATTCTTAACTTTGTGAAAATTCTGCATGTTTTTCTAATTAAAAGTATCACTACACTTACTTCATCATGTATATCAATATGACATATTTAGTATAAAAACAGTCATTTATACTCTATTTACGTTCGCCTGTGACATATTTATCTGTCATTTTGTTCCGATGGCCCCATCACTCAATACAACCTGGTGTTATGCAGGGGGCCCACTACGGTTATCAGTAGTAATAATGAATGTACATATGACTAAAAATAAAAGAAATCGAAGTGGGCGACAAATGCTCACCTTATAGTGAATAACTTAATTCCGACATACACGGTATCTATCACGGTAAGAATAAGTATAATGTATATATATGACATAATGCTTATCACAAAACTTTCTTTACATTTTTAGTGTACACCATGTTTTATAACGCTTATGTTATTATCGTCGTAGATTTGCACGACATTGCACAGATGGTTTTTTTTTATCATAGTTGTTACGTGTATATTTTCTATTTGCAGATTATATAGAAGCCGACTAACGATAAGAACGTTCAGTGTGAATTTTACATCTTTTACATGTACCATTGGTATTTCGTTTTGTTGTAAGCTGTAAGATTGTTTTGGCGAGTATGGTAACTGTGTGAACTTGATATGCATTATGTTATACCGGAACTCGGAGCATTGTTGGTTAGCAGATTGCTCCATAGACGAACGGTTCGAGCAAAAAATGATTAAGCGTGGTAATTTGTGTCCAAATGGGAGAAGAACATGTTTGTGATTTTCGACAGGGAATCAAAAGTGTATCTTATTCAAATGCTTCTAATAATAATTGTGTACAACATGATGAGAGAAAAATGGTGTCTGTGATTTGAAGTGTTGGCCATTTCAGAGTAGTTATATCTTTTACATTTTCTGTGTATTTGTAATTGTTTTGTGTGTAGCTAGCAGCTCGTCTTTGATGGTTTCCTATCACAGGTCCCAAATAGTGTTGCATTATTCTAGCTGCGGACGGACATATGTGTCTTGATGGTTTGTTCTTTTGTTTTGATGCTGTTTAATTGTGCATTTCTGCGATTTAATTTCAGTGTGGGTTTTTTCTGCTTTATTTATGAGGTTGGCAAAATGAGAGTTATTTATATATGTAATGGTGAGGCTTAGATATTTTGCCGAGTTTGTGAGTTCAAGGTCCTGTCCGTGTAGTGTCATCCTCGATATCCATGGGTTGTGTTCACTTTTCACAGCAAAATTGAAGGCACGGAAATAGCTGTTTGATTGGTCTCGGGTAAAAAAATGACCAATCGCTACGCTGATACCTGTCCTTTGAAGATTACAAAGGAGAGGCGCCCGACTACAAAGCCTATCAACTTTTACCGTTACGTGACCGCGAGATTCTTTTGATGTATATCAAAGGATCGATCTAGTCTCCTTGTTTCATCAACAAGGTGGCGCACACCAAGCCGTCAATTTTGCTGTGACATATTCCAGGAGTGCAGAGAGCGAGCGAAAGTGAACACAGCCCCTGGATATCGAGGTTGGTGTAGTGTACATTTACTGAGGTTTCGTTTTCAACATGTGGTTTAACATTAACTATCCCATTTCCCAGTGATATGTACTAGGATCTGTATTTGAAAATCAAGTGATTCTGTTCTAATGCATGCCTTGTATGCAGTACTCCTCAATATTAAAGAGGAAATGAAAAATTAAATAATCAAATGGGTGTATTCACAATTGTGCTACTGGATGATAGCTTTTACAAAACGAGTTATTACCTGAACCTGGGTACACCTTGTCTCGCACACCGACCCTATCCTCAGACCGTCAACCTTGAAGCTGCTGATGGAGCACTCGGATGGGGTCGGGGGAGGTCCGTTCGGTTCTCCCTCCCCACTATCATCATACGCCAGCACAATCTCCGACAGATCCTTGGGTGGCTTGTAGAATGATGCGGTTGTCCCCTGACAAACATGCAACCGACAGATGTTTAGTTCAGCAATAATTCTATACAGAATATTTTAAATCGACAAAAAAGAGAGAGAATAAAACGTGTACAGTAACGCATTACACGTATGTATCATGATATAAATTACAAACTGTTGTCAAGATGATATGATACCAAGTTGGATACAATCGGCCATTTAACATCGTTTTGAGATCCTATATACTGAGAGAGTAAACCTTTACCATATAATATATTATGTATGGAAACATGACATAGAATCGTTGGCTGGATAACTAAACTACTCGGTAGTGAAGCGGACGTACATTTTTAAAACACCCAATCCATCAATCAACCAATCAGTCAACCGTTCAGAACAGCAACAATGTAGAAAGCGTGCTCCACTGTCCATAAACATAAACTTCGAATAAAACATTGCTAGTAACTACAAACTAGTACGTGTCTTTTTTATTCCAGGGCAGTGACACTTACCGTGCGACCTGGGGGGACATTGGACGACACTCTGGATATAGCACGCGACGTCGTTCCAGAGAGAGAACTGAATCTCCCTCCCACGACACTGAGGGGTCGATCATCCTTGGGAGGGCCGTCGGGTGTCGCAGAGATGCTCTGATCCTCCTGGGCAGGGACAAACGTGATTGGTATATATATATTATTGAATATGTGTATTTGTAACAATATGTCTCTATTAAGATTTGAACATTCTTAGTGTTTCTACTGTTTATCGTATTTTGTAGTGGATATAGTTTTTAAATCAGATTTGAATACATTGATGGAAAAAGACTTCACTTTCGGGTACTCCTGATTCATGGATCACGTGGAGTGTATATTACCACGGAATGACCTCTGTTCATTGAAAAAAAGACTTACCTTGAGAGGAATTCAATTTCATGGGAAGGAGACTTGTACGTTGCGAGGACTTTAGCTGGTTCAGAATGGAGGAGGGATGGCGGGGGTTGGGTTTGGGTGTAGGGGGATGGGACTTACTCCAGAAGGACTCCTTGTTCACAGGGATAGGTGATGTACTTTGGGTCGACTTCTAGTTAATGGAGAGTGTGACCTTTTTCGGAAGGCCCCCATTTCACGATGAAGAATACTAACCTCCGGAAGACTCATTTTCTCAAGCTACTTACACAGGACTTACACAGGAGCCCTGTTGCATTTAGATATTGACTTTCTATAGGAAGCCTCTTGGTACACGGCCTCAGATGGCCTATTGTTTCTTGGAGAGACGAGGATGTTTTACCTAAGAGTGAATTAACCACCATGGGAGAGGTCGTTTTTCTTAAGTGGAAACTTACTTTTGAATTACATGTACTCCTGTTAAACTTGGTCGGAAACATAGTTTGGGAGGACTTCTAGTTCACGGGGATGCTTCTATTTCACAGAGATGGAGACTTTCCTTGGAAGGACACTTAATTCTCGCACCTCAGACAGAAATATCCCACATCATACCCCGTGCTAGATTTTTCTATATCGTCCGATCTGTCTTGTACCTTTACGTGACATTTCGCGGAATTTTTACACTGCGATGTATTTAACTGCTTGAAATTGACAATTTGCATCATAAATGTTCTGTTTTGTTGTTATATGTATAGTTTTGATGTTGTTAAATATTTGATGTTGTAGATAAAATATAATCTACACTGTGAAACACGTTGTAATCTATGTAAGGACGGACTATGTTTTCACGCGGAAGCATTCAAATGTAGCCTGAGTAATGAAGAGGTCATATCATTTGAGGCCCAAGGCGGGATACTTGTAGTTTTTACCAAATTTGTATAGTTTTTTCGAACTAAATAGTGCGAGAGAAAAAAATCATTTACCTGTAATTGAGCAAGATCGGGTTATCTCAGTCTCAGGCTAAGATTCTGTAACCCTCGACTGAGATAAACCGATCTCGCTCAGTTACAGGTAATAGATTTTATTATTCACAGAGATGGGCGATATATGTCGAGGAAACCCCTAGTTCACTGGGAGGAGTGATTTCCTTTGATTTCCTTTGGGGGACTTCTGTTAGTGTTACAAGGAGAGACTGGCTGCTTACCTGGTACACGTCACGATAAGCTTAGTATGGGAGGATTCCTCAAAGTTGTTTATTGGGGGCGGGTGGGAATTCGAATCTTCAGGAAAGACTATTATTTTACGGGGAGGGCTCTACACAAATGTAATTATCTCCGGTTGGGGTGCAGGAGGAGTGCTCGTGTTTCAAAGAGGACACATGGTGCATAGGGAAAGTGAATAACATTGGAAATCTTTCGTTTCGCGGAGAAATACATGTATATTCTATCATAGAAGGTAGACTTACCCCGGTAGAATTACTGTGTCGCATGAAGGGAAAGAGAACGTACTTAGGGAGATTCCAGAGTAACAGAGAGATGTGATATTATTGGGTGGGGTGCGCCTAGTTCACAGGGATCATACTCAGAATTGGGGGTCTTTGATTAATTCACACATACATGTACATATAAAGATAAATAGATCCAGATCCGGTGAAATTTTCATATGCAATCTCCCCAATGGAAATTACCATGCTACAGTTGTAATTGTATTTTTTAACAAACCTTGAAAGTACTCCTAGGGGTGCTGGGTCTGTTCCTTGGCGAGTTCTGCGGTGCCGTGTACTTCTGAGTGTGGAACCCTCCAGGGAAAGACGATCCCTGAACTGGACACACATTAGGGTCGAACGAGTGGTTGGAGTTATTGACCGACAGTCGTGTGACAGATGACAGGTGACATCCCTATACGATGGAAAAATGGCTTTCAGACTCAATATGATCGACAGTTACTTCTTACATTAACTTTGTATCTTCTAAAAATAGTATTACTCTGGTTTATGATAATAGCAAACACCAAAGCGACGATAATTGTGCAATTTGGTGGGAAACTTGATAACTAATATTTATATATAGTAGGACGAGGAATAGTGATAAAGATAGTGCCGTCACTGGGGCTCGAACTCGCGACCCTTGGCTCTCCAGTCCCGATGCTCTATCGCTGAGCTAAAGGGAAATTCCCTACAGCTGACATTTGTAAGGCAACTTATAAATATTAATCAATGCACATATTTTACATATGTATGCATAATAGTAGAGTCAGTATAGAAATTAAATTATCATTTTTATTGTAACCACTATGACAGGCCAAGCTCTTCTGTTCAATCTAGCAGTGCTGTACACTATACCATTTCACCCGCTTCCTGGTTTCCTTACCTCAAGAGACCTAGCTATAAATTACATGTGCTTACCTTAGCTATCTTGCTCTTGTTCCTGAGTTGCGGGTAGGACCCTTCTCGCGGTGTCATTGGGGGCCTGCATTCTACCACTGACAAAGTCGACGACATTGTGCAGAATCAGCAACCCTACCCCATACCTACACTCATGGTGATTCACATCGCTCTGGTTTACATTCGTAGGGAAAGCTAGACGTGGCTGAAGTCCCCGTGTTGATATACGTGATGCTAGGATATTAGTTTGATTATGACATCACGGATAACTTGATGCAATGATTATTGTGACGTCACATCGATTATTTACGTGCTATATATCCCAGCGGGAACTTTGGCATTTGTTACACCTATATTTTGACCTAAACTAAGGTGTTCAGGGTAATTTCTATTCGATGAAACCAATGAAACGTGTAAAATTACTCTAGTTACGGTCCTATTAAATATAGACTGTAGCTGTAACAAACTCTCAGGTCCCTGTGCTATTTATTATTTTTGCTTATTTCATCTTTGTAAAACTTCCTCTCAGCTTAGTTATTTATTTCTTTTCAGAATGATTGATCACGGCCGGCTATATAGACCTATAATCATACCGAAAAAACCCCACTATTTCCCCGGTTAATGCACAGATTTTGGCAATGGTACGTGTATGAGGATCCTTAAGAACGGCAACATCGATCCGCGAGTTGTCTCCCATAGTCCCGTTCTCCATTTTGTGCGGTAAGGAAATACCAGAGTAAAGCATAACGACATGACAACAATGTTCATCGATTGACGAGAGAAATGTGATCTGTAGCATAGTCTACTGCTGGTAGGTAAGGTATTATCATGGTAACGTGTACTAGGTTATGGATAGTTACAATAACAACCTTACTAAACTGATTTATGAACTAGGCACGAACTCTGCATGTCGGCAATATGTGGCCAAGACGTTCAGTTTGGTAAAGCAGGACATTTCTCGCATGTGAAAAAATAATATTCTGGTCAAACAAAGAATAGTTTCTCACAAAATATTTTCAAATTTACGTTAATCGAAGCAGATATACAACAATAAACAATGTACCACAGTAGGGGTTTAATACAAAAGTCTGAAATACACATATGTATGCTGTACTGACATGATATGTGTAACAATGTGTGCTCCGACACATCGGAATTGCATATTATCAGGTCGGGGAAAACCACCACTAACTTGCGTATAATACGCAAACTTGACTATTATACGCCAATAGGGGTATGGATTTGTTTCTAAAAATAACCCAAATCACTTGAATCTTAACTTTTTCAAATTGTTTGTCCAAGTCGCATTTATTCAGTCATGAAACATAATACAAATGCAAAAATAAAGTTTATTTGCATGTGGGAAGTACCAAAAATAGATGCAATACTTCCGGTAAAGTTACATCAAGTTTCTAAGTAGGCAACGCTTTCAGTACGTAAACATCGTTTAGCAAAATATTATTTACCTTGTCGCAAATTAATGCGATTTTTAATAATATCTTGCAAAAGTTACTGTTAAAGCGATTTGTGTTATTTTTAGTAACAAATCCATGCTCCAACTGACGTATAATAGGCGAGTTTGCGTATTATATGCAAGTTGTGGTTTTCCACAACCTGATTATATGTATATCAGACATTTGTAACAAACCCCTGTGATGTATATACATGTTAATCTGTTACATTAAAAACAATCATGTTATCCATGTTATCATGCACTGTATACAATTATACGAACATTATTTGTCAATATATTCTGGTTGGCCCATGATTAGGCTAAAACAAAAAACAAAACAGAAAAAATGAATGATGATCCACTATCTCGTAAAATCTAACAAAATTAACTTTTCTTAAAACAAAATATCATATACCAGGAAAGTAAGTAGTGTGCTTCCACTGGAATTGAACCCACGATCCCCAGCTTCGTAGTGCACCGCTTTACCGATTGAGCTAAAGGGAAATTCCTTCTAGCACAAAGCTAGAAGGCAACCATAATCCTATACATTAACATGGGATTATGGTTGGCTTCTAACAATTAAAATTCCACAGACATGCAGATATTTTATGTTAGGTATCTTTGAATTTCAGCATTGATTGATTATGGAACAGTACACAATATTGGGTAGAATTGGAGAAGGTGCTCATGGTATTGTGTTAAAGGCAAAGCATGCAGAGGTGAGTTTGTCATAATAATACTATACAGTTAGAGTCATTTGCTGTTAACAATGAATACAATGAGTTACCGGTAGGTTGAGCTAGGATAATTACAAACTTTCAGGTATGTATGTTTCTCATTTGTCTGTAACCTTATATACTGTACTATTCATTGCAGCTTCTACATAGTTTTATTAATTGAAAAATATTATTATTGGTTTCCCTCTATATCTATGTATTTTTTCTGTGAAAAGTGATCTAGACTTCATGGCCAAATGGGCATAGTTTTATTATAGCTACAATTTATCACATAATATATGTAGCAAGACAAAATATTACGTTTTCTAAAAATATGAATGCAATCAGAATTAAGTTATGTTTTAGAATTAGGAATATTATTTTGATGCCTAATATGGCGATTACCGGTAGAACCTAAAACTTTGTTTAAACTCTCTATAGTATCAGTCTCAAGTTTAAATTGAATTTCATATTATAATTGCCAGAATAAAGACTCAAAGCAATATTTTCTCTGATTCACATAAATAAAATTAAGTCTGAAAATGATGTTAGATTGTAAAAGCTCAAGTATTGCTACAAAAAACTGAACGTACTGACCATGACTTCCACATATTTGTTTCACAGAGTGGAGAAGTGGTTGCCCTGAAGAAGGTTCCCTTGAGGAAACTAGATGATGGTATCCCTACAACAGCTCTCAGGTAGTATATGTACACTCATGTTGAGATAGACATGGAAACAGATTTTAAATGTAGCTGTGCAATATTTTTCTCTTACTGTTTTATTACACAATTTATTAATATTTTACATTTATAGTGTACTGGAAACGGAATGTCATACATATACTTATATAACTGAACATGTTGCATGTCTGCAACTTTTCAGAGAGTTATTTACATTTCTAATCAAGAAGGTCATTACACCGGTCATTTCTGTTCAAAACATACAGAATATGTAGTAGCTAGCATTTTGTTTGATTTTTTACTTTTAGGGAAATCAAAGCTCTGCAAGAAATTGAAGAAAACCCTTATGTAAGTGCAATCAACTATAATTATATTAAGTAATATGTTAAGCTTAACTCATTCACCTCCGAATACACATCTGAACTCTTCCAGTTCAAAGGTTGATATAGTTCATTATGTTTCAGGGGTGGATGAGTTAAACATGATATTTATGAAATATATATGTACATGTACAATTGAATTCAAGGACTTTATCAAGTTTATGCTTCCCTGTAGAGAATTGTTAATACTATATTTTTTTTTTTTTAAAGTAAAATATTTAAGATGGCTTATTATTGTGCTACTGGCAAAAGGTACATTGTATGGGTTTGACTGTCATGCTTGTGTGAGGCTTAATCAAGACACATTACTAAGATTTTTCTTCACTAACGAGCTGTATAAATGAGTACCAGTTTGTTTGAAGATGTTTGAGCTGCTGGGTATGGAAGGACATATCTTCACAAGTACACATTGTGAACATTGGTGTTTTTGCCTCGCCGCGACCAAGTAGCGGAAGCAAGACTAAGGTGTTGCTTTTCCAGTGACGGCGCCTGCGGCGTCAACATTAAGTTTTTGCGTTTAACTTAGTTTTACTGAAAGTTTAAGTGCTAGACCAACTAAACTTGGACCATAGATGCATCTTAGGTAATACATCTCGACCCATTCATCAAATGCTGGATGCAGCCTAACTGTCATGGTCCATTGACTTTATCAGCATCTCCATCAATATGAAGTTTTCTTGCGTTTAAGTAAGTTTCTCTGATATGTGTATTGATGGTCAAAGCGTGCCATAGGCGAGACATATAAATCCTAATGGCTTGCCTCCTTTTTACTGGATGAGATGCTATTGGTCTGTTATTTCTGTTGACAGGTTGTAAACCTCCGTGAGGTGTTCCCCCATGGCTGTAGTCTGGTTCTGGTGTTCGAGTATATGTTGTCTGACCTATCGGAGGTCATCAAGAACTCGGACCACCCACTGTCCGAGGCCCAGGTCAAGTCCTACATGCTGATGCTGTTAAAGGGTGTTGCTTTTTCACATGAAAACAACATAATGCACAGGGTAGGTACTCTGTGCTTAAGGTAATGGGATTGTGTCACCATTTCTCAGTAGATTTTTTTTCAAATTTTGTAGTTATATTGCTTTGAAGTAAAGAAAATTTTCTGCCACAAAAAAAATACAGGTTGTCAGAATTTTAAGGATTTTAAATGGAAACCTATTTAAAAAGGAGTGAATTTTGGAAAAAAAAATGAAATTCACAATTTTTGGCAAAATAATGTCAATAAAAATGATACTGCCATAGATTAGTATTGCATTAATGTATATTAATTCAATAAATGCTGAAATTAGGTTAAATACATGATCTATGAATGATTAAAAATGGACGCTTTATACTAAAACCATATACATGTACACATAGTAATTTGCATGGAAAAGTTATCTTTCTTGAAAAACTTCACAGTAGAGAAATAGGTAGCCGGTTTCCTGAAGTACAGAAAAATAGACACATTTGACTCATTGATAAAAAACAACTGAATTAATGCCTGGATTGCTTTGAAATACTTAAATATTGAGAGAACAAACAGTTCTGTCAATAATAAACATACAATATTCATCGGTTTAATATTAAACATTAGAATATGCGGAAATTGTGATACTGTCTCCCTACATTGGATTTTCAACTAGAGATGTACTTCCTATTTCCGTTGATCAATACACTCCTATAACCTTAATGTAAACATAGTTTATTTTAGTGCATTCTAATTTTAGGGCAGAATTGAATTTTAGCAGATTAGTGCATTGATGAATTGGTGCACCAACAAGATATGTAGCTGAAAACATAAACAAACACTGCAATTAGCACAGTCATAATAAGCACAATAATGTAAAAGTGAAAGGTGCTAAGATTACTGTCAGGGTTAGACACTATTGTTTTTGCTTGGTAGTCCACAGGACTAGTTGAATAGATTATTTACTAGTCCTTCGTCAATGTAACTAGTCTAAGATTTCCGGATAAGGGAACATCACATTCTACAGCATGAAACATCATCAGTAATTGACTGTAGGGGACTTAAAATAACTGTCATAAAAATATGGTGAAGTTTTTGTAAAATTTTGACAATTATAATGCAATATATCTTATTTTAAGCAGTTTTCAAAATTCTAAAAAGGAATAGTCTTATTTTATAATCATATTTTTCACAAGTCCAAAGGACCAGTTAGGTGATTCACTAGTCCTTGCTGAAGTCTAATAGTCCAGAACTAGTGTCGACCCCTGAAGCTGGAATATGAACTAAAGGTTTGCAGTACACATATGTGTTTGATTATACACAGTGTCAATTAATCCTAACAAGTTATTGATTTACTACATATAATAGTATATTGACTTTCAGATTACCAGGTAAGTTTGAGTAAATTATAGATTTTTTAAAGTTTCAAATCAATAAGAGTGATGGTAAAGGATAAGAACAAAACATACCTAATATAATTATTTTCTTATGTGTGACAACAACTTGCCATCCTTATGCTCATTTCAATGCTCCTTTGTTTCTAACAGGATCTAAAGCCAGCAAACTTGCTGATAAGCTCTACTGGTCATTTGAAAATAGCCGACTTTGGACTGGCTAGAGTGTTCCAAAACAAAGGTGACCGTCAATACAGCCACCAGGTTGCCACAAGGTAGGTCAGCAGTAAACCATATCTTTTCTCAAGTGGGACAATAACTAATATAATCTTTCCCCACTTTGGGGGCAAGACAGAAAAATCCAAGGAGTAAGATTCTTAATTGTCTAGCACAAGGGTGCCCCAAGGGCCAGACATTAAAGAATCTTACCCCGAGGGTTGAACATTTTCTGTTTTACTCCTAAAGTGGGGGAATTATCATTTTTCTCCCACATCAAATACAGTTGGTAGTTTCCAGAATTTCCAGAAGATCAGAGTAATCTTCCCTGATCTGCTATTGTTGATGTGAAGTCATGCTACATTGTATTATTATGAAAGGGGAATTCTTTCCTCTTTACCCCATGGTAAGACAGAGATTTCTTGCATACTAGACCTAGACCTGGATTGCTTACATGCGCAGACTAGCGGGGGAATTGTAGTGACCTTTCGGGGTCAGGCTATTGTTCGTGACGTCATTTTATGACATTTTGGGGTCAGTCATTAAACAATTACCATCTTGGCTTCTTATGCAAATGAGAAATGTGCGGACAGTTAACGCCTTTACTAGAAGAGCAGCTGTTTACGGGTTTTAGAATCCATCCCTAACGTGAGACATGGATAAGATGCAAGCCTCATGAATGTTCTTTCTATGGTACATATCGATCTGGATATAACCTGATATAGCTGACAAATGCTTACGAAGACCAACATTCTGGTTAAAGTGTGTACTGAAAATTAATGTTGTTTGAAGAATATTATTTTATCTTGTACTAATGTAAATCTGGTGTTTTACTGACAGGTGGTACCGTGCCCCAGAGCTTCTATATGGTGCGAGGAAGTATGACGAGGGTGTTGATATTTGGTAAGCACAAACAGCTAACTTGATATAACCAAATCTACTTGTACTTTTTCATTTGTAACAGGAAAGGATATAAGGCAATACCATCTGTATAACATGTTTTTTCATTTTTTTCCCATTTTTTTCTGATCTCTTCTGTGCAATCAGAAAGGAGTGTTTTATTTTAAAATAAAACCTTGTTTTGTTTTTTAGGGCTGTTGGATGCATATTTGGAGAACTACTCAACAACTCGCCACTTTTCCCTGTAAGTTAAAAAAATAATGCTCACAAATTTTTGCATTTTAGAATTAAATGCTTCACAGCCTTTTTTCATTCATCTTCGCTAGCCAAGTGTTCGCTTCGTATACACTCCATTACATTGTAAGTGGAGTGTATACGAAGTGAACACTTGGCTAGCGAAGATGTTTTTCATTGAACAACTTCAAACTCTTTTTATGATATTGTCCTCAGTTGCATCATAAAATGTGTGATGTCATGGTTTCCTCCATTGTGACATCAGAGCGTGTGATATCGAAACGGTGATGGAATGACATTCAAAGATGAGAAAAAATAATTCAGAAAAGGATATCCCAAAATCTTTATCCTCTTCAAATTTCATATCTCTGGTTTTGACTTGCACTACTTCACAAATGGTGTGTTAAACTGTATGTTGAGATTTATTATACAAGGTTGAGATGTATTATACAAGGTTGAGATTTGAGATTTATTATACAAGGTTGAGATTTATTATACAATAACCCTGTTCAATCTGTTACAGGGCGAGAATGACATAGAACAACTATGCTGTGTGCTGAGAGTGCTCGGGACACCTAATGAGAGTATATGGCCTGTGAGTATTGTCTCATAAAATACTCAAAGTTTTAAAGATCTACCCTGATATAATAGTACCTTATTCTTTTACCATCATGCATAAAAACATGTCGTATTGTGATTTAACATTTTGATTTAACATAGTATTGATTTCAGTTTTTCACTATAAGCATTTGTTTAATTCCATCAAGCTTTTGTCTTTGTTTGTCTTTGATGTAAAATTCATTGCTTATTTTTATACGCCCGTCAAATTTGACGGAAGTATTAATAAATGGGGTTGTCCGTCCATCTAGCCGGCTGTCCGGCCGGCGTAAACTTTTGTTTGTCTGGCAATCTCCTCCTACGTTTTTCTACCGATCTCTTTGAAAGTTGGTATACATTATAATCATGATATGATGAAGTTGTGTCTCCCTTAAAAGAATTTTGATTCAACAATTTTTCCAAAAGTTATTGCCCTTTGTTCATTTCAGTATTTGATTGTTTGTCCGGAGACCTCCTCCTAAATTTATTTTGACGGATTTCTTTGAAACTTAGTAGGCTAAATAATCATGATATGTTGTTGTGTTTCTTTGAAAAGAATTTTGATTCAACAATTTTTGCAAAAGTTATTGCCCTTTGTTTATTTCAGTATTTGATTTTTGTCTGGCAATCTCCTCCTACATTTTGCAACTGATCTCTTTGGAAATTGGTATACATCATAATCATGATATGAAAGAATTTAAAAGAATTTTGATTCAACGATTTTTGCAAAAGTTATTGCCCTTTGTTCATTTCAGTATTTGATTTTTTGTCTGGAGATTTTCTCCTACATTTTTTATAGCATGCCAGCTAACCACTCTTAGAATGATGCAGATCTATGTAAGAAAGTATATAACACTATATGGCATTCGACGGGCCTATATTGTTCCGCCCCGTGGTACTCTTGTTTTTGAAGAGTCCAATTATGTGTTATCAAACAATAGTGAATTTAACTTGTAATAATTTTGTTTTTATTTTGTTAAATTGCTAAGTAAACCTTGTATTGAAGCAAAGAAGACTGTTAAGTCCATAAATATATATATATGTATTGCTCACACTTTGATGAACCAAAGTCGATCATAAAAGTATTTTCACTTTCATATGTAATCACAGAATTTGAGATAGGCTTGATATTAAAAGGTTGTTACTGTTGACTGATCTAGCTTGACCATTTGGGAATGCCTATATATATTTTTTTTCTTCAAAAGTTGCCGATATTTCTCCATAGGGACATATAAAAATCATCTTAAACCTCTTTAAATATTTCAAAAATGTATTTGAAAAAGGTGGAAAAATGTTTATATTTACATCCCTTTATAAGTACACTGTATTTAATGTATATTGATCTGATTAGAAAAGTGAATCTAAAGTGTCAAGATTTGTTTTGAATTGCAGGGGATCTCTGAGTTACCAGACTATAACAAGATCACTTTTCCTGATAATCAGCCAATTCCCCTAGAGGAGATTGTCCCTGATGCCACCCATGAGGCACTCAGCTTACTCAAAAAACTTTTAGTGTATCCCACAAAGTCGAGGATATCCGCCAAGGATGCCCTGCTACACCCCTACTTTTTCAGCGAACCCCTCCCAGCCCATCACTCAGAGTTGCCCATTCCTCAGCGCAGTAGGAGGGGTTTGCCTCGTCGACAACAGACTCATGAATACAACATTGATCTTCCCTTGGAAAAGAGTCTGATAGACCCAGACTTGCTTGCCCCATATGTTGTCAAATTTAGATAGAGTTTTGGTGATAAATGAAACAATTTATATATTAATGAGGAAATTGTACATGTATTTTGATGCCTTTATATGCCATAGGTAACACAGACAGGTCTTTCCTTAAAAAACCGTGTACCGTATATATTTGGCCATACCATTTCATCCGATGAAAACTTCTTAGCTATCTCCTCCTATTCAACTTACAAATGGGGGATTGTGTGATAGAACACCACCCCTTTATATACAAATATACAAAGGGAGGAATATGGCATGCAATGTCAGGGATTTCAATAAGTTTCCAGGCAACATGAACTTTCAGAATTATAGGAGGAACCTTTTCTCTGGATAGTGATTTCAATAAGTTTCCAGGCAACATGAACTTTCAGAATTATAGGAGGAACCTTTTCTCAGGATAGTGATTTCAATAAGTTTCCAGGCAACATGAACTTTCAGAATTATAAGAGGAACCTTTTCTCAGGATAGGGATTTTGGGGATGCATCCTCGATATCCGGGGGTTGTAAACGCTCACTTTCGCTCTCTGCTTCTTTTTGATTTATATCAAAGGATCGAACTAGTCGTTTTGTCTCATCAACAAGGTGGCGCACACTGAGCCTTCAATTTTGCTATGACATTTTCCAGGGGTGCAGAGAGCGAAAGTGATCGTAATTCCTGGATATCGAGGAAACCTTTGTCAATGAGTGTTGACAAGATTTCTACAAAATGATGTGTGTAATCTTGAATGCTTTCTTTATCTGCGGAAGAAGAACATATGCAAGCTTTGTCATCAGTTGTTTTCAATATCAGTGTCAGAAACCGTTGGTATTTAAAAAGAAGACCGTTATTTACTCTTTGGTTTCACCAGGTAATCTAATGAGTTACTATGCCACTTCAAAGATGTTTTCATCACAAAACAATTTTCGTGTCAGTACACATGCACTTGTAATTCTGATATGATGTGTCAGCTTGCTGGAGAAAGAAATGGTAACGTAATTTCTGTTGACTCGTTTCTGTCTTTTGTGAAAACGAAATTTGATATTTCAAGGCTTTTTTGTTATACACATGTCAAAATTTTCAAATTGTCCGTTACCTTAAATTAGTGCAAGACCTCCTGCTTTTACCACAGATTAAATACAGATCACACAAGGAAGGTAATAGCAATGCTTACAGAAGAGAAAATGACAATAACACAAGAAAGTTCATGATCAGTCGCGTGATCCTTTTGTCCACATTTCACAACTTCAGATTATTATTTTTACATATGCTTAGTATGTTTTATTGTTTACTTACCTACATTTATATAACTGTAAATTAATGTATAAATAAAAGAAATCAAATTAAACAATTTCTTTATTTTATATTATATTTTTTATTTATTATTTATTTTATATTTTTTATATTTTTATTTTGGATTAACTCGGTATTAATTGTGCATATTGTAAAAGATCTTTAGACTTGTGTATCGAATATGCCGCCGACTATCCTTGCAAACTTAAAAGATTCAGGTTTGCAGAATATTTGCATTAAATAACAACGAACCTGCTCTTCACAGTAAGGTGTTTTGCGAGAGCTTAATAAATCGCAAAATCTCTTGTCTGTTGTTGAATTTGTATTGTTTAAAACCACATCAGATTGGGTCCATAGGTTAGAGCACGAGACATTTCGGTGGGCGGTTACAAGTTCGCGAAGCGAACGAGTTAACGCCCACGGACATATCGAGTGTATACGAGTCTATAGACATTTATTAAATGGCTTGTATCATGGTCCGTCAATTAACTGTCACTAAACTTCTAAGAACCAATCAAAATTGTCTTGTGTTCTTGTGTACATTTCCCGCCAAAAACAATCAACAATCAATTAGGATTACATTTCCCACCAAAAAAATCAACAATCAATTAGAAGTTCAAGCCTTACCCCACTTCCTGCCTTTAGTTTCTCACCATTTCCATTCGAGCTTTGAAAGCAGCAGGATAACAACACAGTCAGCTAGTTCCACTATCAATTTGAAAGACTCTGATTTCCTTTATTTACAAGAAGACGACTTAGATGACATTGTGTTATCTCAACCATGCCAGGATAAAGAAAACGAAGCGAAAGCTTTTGATGGGGGACACCGAGCTATCGCTGACTCAGTGTGTTTCTAAATATGATGTACCTGTCGCTTCTTCAAGCAGACTGTCTGAAAGTGACACAGAAATGGACACTGGGACATTTGAATTAGAATTTGAGATTTATTGTACATGCAACATCAAAGGAACCTTATAATATATCAGAACTGGATGTTGCACACTTTACACCACGTACCAAAGCCACTGTTTGTTGTTACTGTCCTGATAAAAGATTCCCAAAGAAATTCTCCATCCTTGACCTTCATTGTGCACATACTTTTGAGAAGAATGAAGAATCATAATTTTACATACGCACTGCAACTTAATTAAACCCTTGTCATTAACAAAGTTTGTAATTCATTACACAGAAATAGACCGGGGACTTATCAGTTCCATAGATGGCAATAAGAACAATCGGAGGAAAGAAGTTATTCATGTTTGGATTTTCCCGATGTCAGTGTCTACCTAGACAACTCGGACTACATAATGTAGCCTGTAACTACAGTGGCCCACTTGTGGCCTCAACATATGTGGCCTAATTTGACCTTAGTTCTCGTTGAGTTGTTCAATTCCAAACATGCATGCAGATTTATATATGTATAATGCTACATACCTCGACCTGAATATATAGCTCATTTGTGTAAGAAATGCAAATATAGCAGAAAAAACACTGACCAGCAAAATGTCAGAGCCTTAACCACTTGGCCCTTTCTGTTTAATTCTATCAAATGAAATATGTTTAAGCTAAGTAAGGAAGGACTCGATCGAGGATAATATGAAAAATCTTTAAAAACCTACTTCTTGATTTCAAATCCAGGTATTTGTTCTTAATTTGGTCTGCATCGTTGTTCACTTCCGCTCTATCAATGGCGTTCTGCTATATGTTGGCACTTATTTAGTCGGCCGTGCTGATATTTTTCGCAATTTTTCAAATTATAGCATTGGATGAATTAAAGACGGACTACAAGAATCCAGTAGATCAATGTAGCAGTTTAAACCCGTTTATGCTATCAGACTATTTTATACACGTATTCTTTACGGTGATGTTCATGTCATGCAGTGGAAGACAGTCATTCTAAATGTACCCCTCATAACTTTAGAAGGTACATACGTCGACCAATACTGACCGGTCCCGGCTTGTATGATGATCAACTTAGTCAAGCGCAAACGGAAGGATGGGTTAAACTAGCATTCTACCTTATCGTTTTCTTCTTCTATCTGTACAGCCTGATCTATGTCTTGGTCACAAATTAATTGTCCAGTGTGCCATACAAGAATGTATAAAAGTGATTGTAAGCCTCTGCCTTTGTTTAATAATTATAACTAATACTATTATCCATATGTTGTAAAGCGCTTTAGAGTAATTTTACAAATAATATAGGTCGCTATATAAATGTTGTATATTGGTTATTATTATTTATTATTACTTTGAAGATTGGAACATCGATTATTTAGTTTTATGGTTTGAAAGCGAATTTGAATTACTTGGGGTGAAAAAAAGAAAGGCAAACATGAATGAGACATGCAACGTAATAGTCCTGATTAAAATGATATTTTATAGGGTATTTTTCTTTAGTGGACTGTTTTTTCTGACTGTGTGAGCAAAATACAGAACACTCTATGTTACCTTTGATTTCATATTGTTGAAATGGAACTTTCAAGGTTTTCCTAAAATTCAATTAGTTCATATTTATTTAAATCAAATTGACTTGTTGAAATGAAAATTTCATAAAGTAGCATCAAAACGAAAGCCTGAATTTCTGTTCAAATTTAGGAAAAGGGTATTTAAGCTTCTAAAACAAATGTTGTCATTTATTTCAATATCCGTCATTACTTAGCTACAAACCTGTAAGCAGTTCGAATTCATACTATTAGAACCGCAACCTATAAATCGCTGGATAAAGTAAAGAATTTAACTGAAATATTTCTGCTATGCTGATTCTGTATTGATAGTAAACTACTGATATTATTCTAAAGTTTACCCTAAAAATGCCTTTTGAATGACAGAAAATGTGTATTACAATGAAAACAACACTCCGGAATATACCATTTTTAATAACATATTTAGGATATGAAGTATTTTTGTTGTATAATTGCTTTTAATATTTAGAGTAATGGTGTCACAATGTTTTGTTGAGTTACATCTGTGTATTCATCAGGAGTTCATTGCTGTATGAAGAGTTTGGTCCCACCTGAGGCAAAGGGGCATGCCTCAATAAGGGATATAGAAATAAATATGTAAACCTTATTTGGTCTGGGACATCCTTCATTGGGCTGAATAAAAAGGTATGAAAACATCATATTCCTTCAGTGCGGGTAAAGGTATTTCAATCTAATTTCGTTTGGAGTATTGTTCGGCCAAATGGACTCGGTGCTGAACCGTTTCTCCGCCAACTACTCACACAAACATGCACACACACTCGCTGTCGGTCTAGGTACGTGACAGCGAGTGTGTCCAGAATTGAGATCATCATTGTCGTGACTGACTTATCTGCTGGTGATACGACAGGAATGTGGTGTTGTGTTTAAACCTTTGATAAACAAATATAGACTTCCTGTTAATGAGCGTAATCCGCTGATAAAAGTGTCAATACTAGACAGACATGTTGTAAATTGTGTATGTACACCGGGTACCCGCAATGGCTCCACCTACCGGATGATGACAGCCGCGACCTGATGCCAGAGAGATAAATTAATGCTCTTCTCTTCCGACAATGTTCAAAGCGAGTTTTTCTTTTTTTCGTCTGTTGCAAATTGAGGCAGAACTGTTTTCGAAATATGTTCCGCAATACATGATGCTTCATGAAATCCTCTCCAAAACAGTCGTTTATATTTATTATCAGTGTACATGGATGTCTTAATAAAAACCTATATTTTACAAAGTAGGCTGTTCACTGCAGATAAAATGCAGGTAGGGCGTAAGAATTGTACCTGCTGCCCCCAATTGCACGATCGTAAGAGGCGACTAAATTTGGGACCTTATCTCTTCTCTCCTTTCTAAATAACTTTCTTCTTCCTAATGTCTCCCTTGACAATGCCTCACTTTTGGCCATTTGTTGAACGTTCGCCCCTGTGAGGAAGGCTTTGGGTTCTGTCCCCTGGCAGAGACATACCAAAGTCTTTAACAATGGTAGTTTCTACTCCTGCTTAACGCTCAGCAAATTAGGAGTGGGACGACTGGTTCGCCCGTCGTCAGTATAATGTGACCGGGTGAGGCGTCCTGCTGGGTGTCTTCGGCAGTATGTTTCAGTGAGGTAGCACTTTAAAGTCGGCATCAGTTCCGCGCTATCACAAGGAGATAAACACGAACATATCGCAGCCTCCCAAAATACACACACATACACTACACGCATGCATCTTGCACACAGGGGAGGCCGTCCTTAACTGACCTTAGCTGTTAATAGGACGTTAAACAAAATTAAACAAACAAACAAACAAAACTGCAATAACGTGGCTGCTGACAACGAGACACTGTTTTGTACATTGCGCCAGGGCAGAGGAGGCCGGGAATAATATTAGTACTAACTACAGATGAATACATTGTTATGTTTTAGCATAATTATACTATTGCCTGGCTTCAAGTTCAGGTAAAATTAGCCACAAGCCATAGTTCCGTATTTCTACTCACATCTCTTGCAAATGGTGGGGTCCAAATCGAACAAAAGCCAGTTCGTCAATATCTGGAGCAACGATGCCTAGGGCATGGACGTACATTGTAGCAGGATATAGGCTATAAAGTAGAATACACAGTACAATTGTAACCTCAGTCGTATTTGAAAACCCTATGCCTTCGATCGTTCTTATCCGGTCCGTTTTCACTTTATTTGTTTTCGTGGATTATAAACTGTATATGGATATTGAAGTATCGTTGATATTATTTACCGTTTTGTAACCTTGTAACCGCGCCGTGATCTTTTTTACCTGTAAAAGGTATTGACAAGGTGTTTTTTGCTTACATGTTTACTGTTTTGACAATGTGTTTATGACTTATCTGTATAATGTTTTGACAAGGTATTAATGGCTTACCTGTATGATGTATTGATATGGTGTTTATGACTAATTACAT